TAGAAGATTCTGAGAGAATGGAACTTCCTTGTAGACAATTCCAATAGAAACAAAACCTAGGATTACTAACTAGCTGGAAAGGCTTAAAAGAGTTCAGATCTTCTAGGGAATCCTTAAACTATGTTTTAAATCCCTACTGAAGCTGAAACCACTTGCCTGTGTTGTTAGTGTACTGATGGGAGCCTGAAGGGATAGCATACACTGCTTTACTTTAAAATAAATAGCTATACTTAGGTTTCTTCTGGGGCTGGGAAGAAACTTTGAAGTTGATTCAGCTAATTGGAAAAAGAAAGAAATGAAGCAAAGTGTAAGTGTCTTGCCCAGGAAAAGAAGACAAAGGAAATGACCGTGGTAAAAAAAAATTTGATGCTAAGCTAAGTTATAATCTGAAATTTTTTTGAAAAATACATTTTAAAGACAACCACAATTAATTTAAAAATTTAAAAACTTGAGCTAGTTCTTCAAAAAATCTAAATACAGAAGCATTAGAAAACATAAAAGAACATTAAAAGTTTAAGAAATGAGCCAGATGATATGCTAGAGATATTTAAAAACCACTTGAAAATCTTAGTGAAACAGATAATTGTTTGGAATAAATACATATTTTTAGAATGATTCAAGACAAAATAGATGAGTCATCATGGAGAAAAATGTAAAAAATTATCAGTTAATTTTGTCTTGAATAGATTAAGACTAGATAGCTTTATTGACTTTTTTTTTTTAGCCTTTATGAACAAGTAATTTTTTTGCTAAATTGTTCATTCCAGAGCATAAAAAGAAAACTTGTCATATTGTAATATGAAGAAACAGGCAAAATTTATAACAACAACAAAAAAAAAAGCCAGGAAGTTAAAAATATTGACCAATCTCACTTTTGAATTTTGTTATAAAAATTCTAAGTAAACCACTATCATCATATTTAATAAAAATAAAAATCTAACCCTGACCTGGTGGCTTAGTTGGTTGGATTGTCATCTGTACACTAAAAGGTTGGTTTCAATTCCAGGTCAGGGTACATACCTAGCTTGTGGGTTTGAACCTGGATCAGTTGTGTATCGGAGGAAATTGATGTTTCTTTCATGTTGATTTTTTTCTTTTCTTGCTCTCTAAATTCAATAAAAACATATCTTCACATGAGGATTAAAATAAGTAAATAAATCTAGCATGATCAAAGAGGATTGACTTTGGGAATGAAAAGATATTTAAGTAAGAAACCTATTAATTTATATAATACCAGTAGTTAGAACTGCGTAACTATTTTATTTAAAAAAATTTTGTAGTATTTTTGAGAGAGAGAAACATCAGTTTGTTATTGCACTTACTTATTGATTTATTGTTTGATTCTTGTATGTCCTCTGACCAGGGATTGAACCTTCAACCTTGGCATATCAGGATGGACAATGCTCTAACCAACTGAGCTACTCGGTCAGGGCCTATGATTAGTCCCCCCATTAATTGCATAAAAGGTATTTGATAAATGAGCTTTTATTTACAACATATGAAACTTGATCAAGTTTAATCTTACAAAAATAGGATAATGTTTTATAATATAGTGAAGAATAGACTTAAGTTAATAATATGCTTAATTGTGAGATACCTGAGACACTGATTTATCTAACAAGGGTCTATTAAGCACCTACTATAATCTAGGCACTGTTTTGAGAGCTGGTAAACTGACTCCTATGGAGCTTACATTCTGATGGGGAAGGGTGACAAGATAACAATAAACATAACAAGTAAGTAAATTATATAATACCAGAGGCCAGGTGCACTAGTGGGGTCCCTTGGCCTGGCTTGTGCTCTGATGTTTCTCCTTCTCTCAAAAGCAATCTGGGACCCCTCGGGGGATAATAGGGGCCTGGTGCACGAATTTGGCTGGATCCCCATAGGCCAGGTCGAGGGACCCCACTGGTGTATGAATCCATGCACCGGGCCTTTAGTATGTATGTAAAATATTTGGTTAATCTCTTCCTGTCCCCTCTCTCCACTTCCCTCTGAGATTCATCAGTCTGTTCCATGTTTCCATGCCTGCGCATTGAGAATCTGCCTCCAGTGGTCAATGCGCGTCATAGGTACCAGTCAAACGGTCACTTAGGCTTTTATATATATAGATGTTAGAAGGTGATAAATTTTATTTTTTAAAAACAGGCAGGGTACAGGGATTGGGTTGGGTGAATTTGCAGTTTCAAGGGAGCATTCACAATGGGTCTCGAGGAGGTATTATTAGGGCTGACTTGCTTCCTAGGGAATGAGCGGCATGAATAGTTATTTGGGGAATTACAGCTGCACTGAAGCTAACTGAGAACAGCCAGTGTGGTAAGGGCTTGAGGTAAGGGCTTGCCTGCTGTGTTGAGAATTAGTGAGGGGCTGGTGAGAGCAGTGAGCAGGAGACAATAGTAGATGAAGTCAGATTAATTTATGAGGTCACAGAAGTACTATTTGAAAGATTTAGAATCCAAGTCTCCTGACTCCTAGCACATTGTTCTTTGTTATCCCATGACTTTAAGTCATCTTAATTTTTCTTACCTGTAGTTGTGGCAGTTGGAAGTGATGAACCTAAGCATACATTTAAAGTCCTATATTTGTATTTGGCAACTAATTATGTGAAAAAGAAAAAAAGTAAAACTTAATATTCTAACAAATAGAATATATTAACCTATGACATTCTAACTAAAGTTTGAAAACTTAGAAAGTAAATTTGGTATTAGGATTTATTTTGCAAGAATAGTAAATATCTGCCTCAGACTTTTTTTTTTTTGGTAGCAGTAGACATTCAGAAAATGATTATATATTTATGAGAGTATCTTACAGTAATATCTCATTTCTGTAATATCAAGGAGTAATGTGACCCACATGTGTTCATTTTCTGTGACAAGAGCAATGTGCTAGGAGTTAGGAGACTTGGATTCTAAATCTCTCAAATAGTACTTATATGACCTCATAAATTGATAAAACTTTTAAAGTAATTTTTAGAAATTTACCATTAAATGTTTTGATTCAGATTTTTACATAATGGATTATATTTTTCATTGTTTCTTATGATGCATTTAAAAAGCTTATTGAGTTACCTACTACAAAGCCACCATGTTGTTTACTTCTTTCAATATCTGTTCCCTTCTAAAATAGTAATTAATAATGTCCACCTCACAGAATGAACAAGTTAAATAATGTGTGTTAGATGCCTAAGACAGAGCCTGGCAGATTAGTAAGAGTTAAATGTTAATTTTAAAAGAAAATTTAATGGTAAAATATAAAGTTTTTGAGGCTAATAGGCATGACTTTGAGCACTTTCCTTTTCTTTACCCCATATTCCCTGCACCCCCAATTTTTTAAAATTCTTTCTTCCCACAGAAATCTTTAGTAAAAAGCAAGGAGCTATGTAATATGAAGAGAAATCAGAGTATTTACCTTTCAAATTTCATCTGCAGTCTTTCTTCCTTCACTATTGTCCCTTCTTCCAGCTAAAGCTTAATCTGTCCATGCTGGGAGTTTTCAAGATCTAAGTTTAAGACTTTCATGTTATTCAGACTTTTCTCTGATGATCAAACTATTTTCATGTAATATTCTATAGTGATAGATTCTGGGATAATTACAACATAGGATTATTTGTTTGTGGTCTAAGTGGCTTTAGGCTGTTGTCGTTTTGGGCCTCTTTTGTTGAATTTTTATAGTTTTTAGCTTCCTTCACTGTCAGCTCATATTACTTGCTGCTGTCAGTGCAGTTGTTTGTTTATTTATTTACTAGAGGCCCAGTGCACAAATTCATGCACCAGAGAGGTCCCTCAGCCTGGCCTGCAGAATCAGGCCGAAACTGGCTCTCAGACATCCCCTAAAGGGTACCGGATTGTGAGAGGGCCCAGGCCAGGCCTAGGGACTCCACCGGTGCATGATTAGGGATGGGGAGAGACAAGGGAGGTTGGCCAGCTGGGGAGGGACCTCAGGAGGAGGGCTTCAGGGCATGTCCAGCTCATCTTCCTCCATCCTGTTTGGCCAGTTCCCAGCAGCAAGCAACCTACTTGTTGGAGCATCTGCCCCCTGGTGGTCAGTGCACATTATAGCAACTGGTCAACTGTTCCTGGTGGTCAGTTCATGTCATAGTGAGCAATTGAGCAACCTTAGCATATCATTAGCATATTATGCTTTGATTGGTTGAATGGCTGACCAGTCGATTAGCATATTAGGCTTTTGTTATATAGAATTAGTTTCTGGCTGCTTCTAATTTTCAGTATCAAATCTAGTGAGTGTTGATTCATTGGAAAATCAAGTTTTATAAAATAATGTTTATGGCAGGAATGAAAAATAAATTTTAGCTCATGTGTTGATTTTGATTGGTAATGGTTGCCTGGAGTGTTGTGTTAAGCAGGATTCTGGAGCTGCATCCAAATTTGATGAGAAAGTACTCTGATAATAAAATGGGATGGCAGCACTGGTAACCACATATTGGCCATTTATTGTCTAAAGAACAAATCGGTACTGCACGAGAATTTGAGAGGGTTCTATAGTGATTAAAATACATAAGTTAGTATGTGGGTTGTGATACGGTTTTGACCCTTAGATGTCTTTTGGGTTATTGATTACCCTTTTACTTTAGACATTGAGGTTTCCAAATAACTTATCAATGATAAGTAAAGTAAATAGTTAAAAGGATTCTGCTCTGCATTATTTAAGTTAACTTTGTTTATTTAGTAATTATGTAGTTAAAAATTTAGCCTATGTAAAAAAGTATTTTCTTCACTTGATATTCTATCAAAATTGCATACTAAGTAAAATTCCGAATGTATGATTTAAGCACTGGGTGGAAAATACTATATTGTTAACAAGCTTTCACAAAGTAAATTAAATTTCTGTGTACCTCGTTATGATGGCAATAAGTAAGAATGTCTGTATGATTATTAGGTTTTTAATTATTAATTTGTGAATATATCTAAGGAAATTTAATTTTTTTAATGAGTTATTTCTTCTGTCTTTCTTTTTACACATATCACATATAACTTTTGCAGGTTGGATTTGCTACCATTTTATGCAAGATTGGTTGCTACATTGCATCCCTGCATGTCTGATGTAGCAGAGGATCTTTGTTCCATGCTGAGGGGGGATTTCAGATTTCATGTATGTATTTAAGCATTTATTTTGTAATTTACATAGATACATATACTTAAAGTTGAGTGAGGATTTTTTATTTTAAGAATATGATTTATTATTGGTAAGCATATTTCTGAAATCTGATAGTGGCCTAACAGTTCAGAATATAGGTCTAAATTTTTAAAATATAAATTTACTCAACAAAGCCTGAAATGATAAAGTGATATTACAATTAGGGGGTTGAGCTGCTACTGCTCTCTTATTTCTCCATTATAGGTACTGCCATTTTTACTTTTGTAAACATTCTCAAGAGAGAAGCAACAGGTTTTCCCAGAAGAAACATAGGATCGGTTATTATCAGTCAGGACACAGTTCTTATAGGATGCCTGTTTAGTTATTGGGGGTGCAAATACTTGAGGCACATGAGGTACAACAGAGGATGTGATCTCAGTGAATGCTGTTGTAGCCCATGTTTTTATTGGTTCTTGCCTTAAGAATCTTTATCTTAGATAGTAGTGAATTCTTTAAAAAGTACCCTGGTAAAGTACTAGGACCCTGTTAGTAGGCACCTTCCTTCCCTTTCTGGTCCCAGGAATCTGCCTGTAAGTGGTTCTTTAAAACCCATATTACATAGTTCTCTTGTGGAGGTGATAAAGATTCAAATATAGTCCTAAAAAGAGTAAAATGATATGTTAGAAGTGACTGAAAGTGAGCATTGGTAGGCTTTGAAAAGATGTGAAATTCAAGTTTGTATGTTGTTAACCAATGGAAAAATTGTGTTTACAAAATTTAGCTTTCTAGTGAATTGCTTGGAATGCAAATAAATGTTTCCTATGCTCAGTATGTACTTTATTGCACTTGCATTATGCAATTCACTATTGTTGAGCACTTAGAGAACAATTCCGTAGGTCAGGAATCTTACCTGTAGTTGGGGAGATAAGACTAAGCACTCACAGAAGCAAGAGAGAAATAAAAATGTAAGCCCTAAATATATTTGATATTATAAGGAATTGCATGCTTAATTGCCAAATGACTTGAGAGTGTCATTACCTTGAGTTCAGAGGAAGGAGCAAGTGTCAGTGATGGGCTTCTTGTTCTAGGTGTTAATCTGTTAATAGGATATTTGTGGTTAAGATTCTTTTGGGCTGCTTCCGCTAAAGTGTATTTCACATTTTCATAGTATTAAGTAATGGCACATTTCTATGTTTAAAGAAGTTTGGAAACACTGAGATCAAGAAGTTAAATTATTTTATCTTTGTTTTATTATAAGAAGTCTGAAAGCTTTGATAGGGTAATGTGCATTGTGAATCTTCTGGGGAGGGTTAAATAGGTAGTCACTCAAAGAACACACTTTGATAAATGCTGCTTCAAGGACAGATGCATCAGAATTCATGATATTTTTGTTGATATACTTAATCTCATCATACAAATAAGAAACTTTTACTAACAGTATGATTGTATTGTATTGAGTTATATGCCTACACCCTTAACCAAATCCAAAATTAAATAAAATGCAAGTTGCTACACCAGGCACAAGCTAATTAATGCTTTTGGTGAGAAACTTAAAATTAAGAAAATATTATTCATGTGTATTTCCCCTCTCACCTTTAAAAATTTGGAAGCGAGTTGAAGGAACTGGCATACTTTCATCACTAGAATATCAGTGTTAGGAATATACTTTGGTAATCACTGCTCTTGTGGGTATTTGGGGGAAGAGAAGAAACACCTACTTTTCACAAGATCTGTTTGTTCCCTACCCCCAAATCTGCACACTTTGCCAATGACTTTTTATTAGGCTATAAATATACTTAACACTAATATCCTTAAATGAAAATAAAATAATAGCAACAAGTAAACTTACCTCAAACAATCCCCTTCCCCCCATTCTTTCATTTCCTTCTTCAAGTTTTTTAAAGTATACTTGCCTCTTCTACTGACATTTATCCTTTGTTCTATCATAGTACCCTGGCACAGACCACCGGTGTCTTCCTAATTGCTTTATGTTAGTCGATATCTCTGCAAATTCTAAACTGCTGATCTTCTGCTTTTTAGAAAACTGTCATTCTGGCTCTACCACATGCTAGTGTTGTAACTTTGGCCAAGTTACATAAGTGTTCAAAACTTCAGTTTTCTTGCCTATTAAATTGGGATAATATCGTATCTTTTAAAACAATTGTTTTTATGGATTAAATGAGATAATGCATATAAAATTGATCCCACAGTGCCGGGACATAAATATCATTATAATAATAATTCTTCTCTGCCACCACTTTCTCCTAGTTCTTACGTATGACTACCATTCTCAATGTCCTTTGCTCTTTTTTCCAGCTGAGTTTATGTGTTGGTGTTCCCCAGACTTTCTTCCTTCACCCTCCTTTTTGATGGAACACATTTTACCTGGGGTTCAGTTAACATCTATTTCCCAGCAACCTCCAATACATATCTCTTGCCAGAACCTCTCTCCTGGTGCTTAGTAAGTTCTCATGTACGTCTAGCTAAATATGTTCATAAACTCATTGATTTCTTCTAAAAAATGTCTTTATCCTTCTTTTCCTTATATCAACTTCTATATTCTCCCTGTAAATTTGTAATATACTTTATCTGATCACTAAGAGAAATACCTCAATTTTTGCTCCTCTGACATTTAGGAGCCAGTAATCATCAAATTCCATTGATACTATTTTCTAAAACACCTCCTCAAATTTCATTTTCCAGTGCTTGAAATATGAGAATAGCTTTTTAACCAGGTATCCCCATCTCTGCCTTATACCTAATTCCATCATATTGTCACATCTGATTTTATTTGACCTAGTTAAAGAATCTCGACTGAGAAATAAAGCTGGTTAGCAAAATTGTATGAAATACATATAGTAGTCAAAGAAATTCTAGTATTCTAGTTAAAATAACTGATTTGCTAATTTGACTAATAGAATAATAAAGCTAATAGAAATGAAACCATTCACATATTCTGTGATCGAAATTTGGAGAACAAATTTAGCAATATGCTTCAAAACCCTAAGAGGTATTCATACATTGGACAACTCTGAGAATCTGTCCTAAAATTTTTATATACCTGCAAAGCTTTATTCACATTATGAATTGTAAAAGAAAAAGAAAACAGGAAATAACATAAAAGCCAAACAGTGGATTAAAAAAATGACAGAGCCATTGAAAATGGTATTTACCAAAAAATTTTCATTTCATAGAGAAAGCACTTTTAGAGGAAAAAGCAAGCTATAAAATCTTACACATAATAAACTTACAGTTATGTTAAAATGTATGACTAATATGTTAGCAGTGACTGTCTTTGAATAGTAAGAAATATTTTTTCTTTTCTAGTTCTCTAAATTTTTAGCAGAGTCTGCTTCTTTGATAACAAGAGGGAACAACTTTTACATAAATATGAACATATCATCCTCACTGATTGACATTTAAAATTTTTTTTAATTTTTCCCCATCAACATTAATCTCTCTTATACCCTATTTCACCTCCACCCCTGCAATCACCCACACTGTTGTTTGTAACTGATTGACATTTTTAAAATTAGTGTTCTCTTAGCTTTTTAAGTAAGCCTCTCGGTAAAATAAGTTAACCACATATTCCAATATAAACATATTTATAACTTAGTATGCCTTTACAGTTGTACCAAATATTTTATGTACTTTCTAAAACATATAAAAGGACACTGAAAATTATTATATAAAAACATTAATAGAAATTCCAGTATGCCCTAGTACCGTGGTCGACAAACTGTGGCTCGTGAGCCACATGCGGCTCTTTGGGCCCTTGAGTGTGGCTCTTCCACAAAATACCATGGCCTGGGCGAGTCTATTTTGAACAAGTGGTGTTAAAAAAAGTTTAAGTTTAAAAAATTTGGCTCTCAAAAGAAATTTCAATCGTACTGCTGATATTTGGCTCTGTTGACTAATGAGTTTGCCGACCACTGACTGCCTAGTAGAGTCTTGCCCAACCTACTTTGTAGATTAGTGGTCCACAGAATAATTTTTTTTTAAAGGAAAATGTACTATTAGCTTTAGTGCCTACTTAGTGTTTAGCCTATAGTAGATTCTCCAAAAAGTTAGTTGAGTCATTGCAAAAATAAAGTTTATATAAAACAAAATGAGCAAATTATGGTGAGTAGAAATTATAATGTCTACTTAAGATGACGTTTAGGGGTGTGAGTATTCTTTCTATAGGAGAATAATGAATGATAGGCCTTGGAAATTCTTTATATATGTTGACATATCTGAAGAGTTTTTATTAATATTGCTTATGAATTTAGTTACTCAATCTCAGTTTCACCTTCACTAATAAATGAGCTGTAAGCAACATTTTTGCTAACGACAATTAATTATATAATTAAAATTTTATACATAACATTGAACTAAAATATATATAAAAATTATATGTTGTTAATTCATCTGTACTTGCTTTTGCAGAAGTGCTTTGACATACTTTTTTATCTAAAGGAGTCAACAAATGAGACTGGAAAATATTGAATGAGGATTCAGAATGAGTTAGTCTTTTTTATAAGTTACAGTCTTTTGAAAAGCCTTTTTTTTTTCATCTAAAAATGAGGGAATGAGATAATTGATTTCTAATACTTCACTTAAAAATTCTATAATTTTGTTATGTCATTGAGATTGTATCTCCTTAATCTCAATAATGTTTAAGAGTAATTGTGGAAAATACACTATGTTACATGTTTTGAAAGCTGTAATGCTCAGTAATAATTGTATGATACTCCACTGCAGTTGTTAAGAGCTTGTGCATCCAGAATCACCCAAGGAGACTTTAAAAAACATATATGTATTTCCCAGCCCCATTCCCCCTAAATATTCAGCATCAGTGTATCGTTTTTGAAATGCTTTTTTACACTTTTTTTATTTCTATATTGTTTTAACTCTAAAATAAACACATGCTCAGTGTTCATGATTTAGAAATATAAACATATAAAGTAGAAAAAAGGTAGAAAGACCACATAATTCCATCACTTAAAAGCAAATTCCAGTAAAGTATTACCTTTATTTCTTCATAGTTTTTCATGGATGAATTTATATTGTATGTACAATTTCTATTCTTTTATTTCTCACACAAACAACATTTTACAGTGTCATTTAAAACATTTCTTATGCATCATTTTAAAGGTTGTATAATCTTTTGTCCTGTATATTGCTTGTTTATTATCAAGTGAAGTGTAGTTATCATTACCACCACCAGCATCATCATCATCATCATCATCCTTATTTTTATCCTTACTTTACCAAGTGAACCAACAGGTTCAGGGGGTTTATGTGAATTGTCTAAGATCATATGCCCTCAAAAAATGGCATAGAGTGACCATAAAGGCCGAGGTGTTCTGACCATAGATATTTTGTTCTTTCATTTCTACAATGTATGCATAAACATTAACCATTTTCATTTATTTGTTTACTCAGTAAATATTTAATGTCCATTTATTAGTGACAAAAATATACAAATATAAATAAAATAATAGTAGCTAATAGATATTGGACTCTTCTTGGTCTTTGTAAGTACTGTTGCATGTGCTGTACATGTACCAATTTACTTAAGACTCACAACACCCCTACTAGGTATGTTACTTTTATTATTTCCATTACACAAATGAGAAATTGAGGCATGGAATTTACATAACAGCTAGTAAATTATAGAACTTGGATTTAAATCCAGCAAATCTTGCCCAGGATCCACAGTTGTAATTCCTAGGAGTTCACAAAGTAAGAAAAATTAAAAATTTGATCAAACATATTTGTGAAAGGGTCTTTATGAAGGCTGTACTCTTTTCTAAATTGCAAGGCTAAAACAGTCAAGTTTATTCAACACAATTTTGTTTACTATTAGAAACTAGAAACCAAACTAGGTTTGGTTTTCTGATGAAAATGTAATTCTGAGGTTAAATCCAATTACATTTATCTTGAGGTGTCTCTTCACATTGTATTGCTGTAATAAGATTTTGCTATATTCAGTATTTCTTCAAATGTGTACCTAAGTAGGAGGTTATATTTGCAAAAGACTTGAACTCTGATATATGGCTGTGACTAGTAGTAAAAGAGAATAGTTATTATATTGGGAATTTCATTATAATGAACTTACAATAAAAAATGCAATCTATAGTTTGTCACTATAATACACTAACTGAGCCTTAATAATATTTTTGCTTAAATGAGCTTTTGATGTTCTTTATTTATAAAGCAGCATCTCCTAAAGTGTGTTCCTTATGATATTAATATAATGGAATCTTAACTAGTCATTGTTAACATTTCAAAAGGGGGATTTATGTTGCCAAATAAATTTGAGAAACAATTAAATTAAGTTAAACAGATTTCTTATTTTGTGATCCTTTAGCCTTATAAAATGCATTATTTGACCATGGAACTGTTTTTGCAAAGCACATTCTGGCACTGGTGTTATACAGATCTTATTTTGCCTTAATGTAAAACAATTTGAATATAGCAGGAAATTATGCCAAATTTATTTAAAGTATTTAGAATGAGTTCAGTCTCGATAAAATAACAGTTCTTATCGGAGATTTCTAAGTGTTAATTATTTAACCAGTATCTCTTTTAATTTGTAGGTACGAAAAAAGGACCAGATCAATATTGAAACAAAGAATAAAACTGTTCGTTTTATTGGAGAACTAACTAAATTTAAGATGTTCACAAAAAATGATACACTGCATTGTTTAAAGGTTAGTGCTGAATTACTTGAGTTATTTTTAATAGACAAATTTAAAGTTTTTGTTATAGATGCTAGAAAAAGTGAAATAATTAAGAAATATTTGATTTATCCAAAGGAAGGCAAAAAGGGGGTAAAAAGGACATTAAACAGGTATGCAAAATAGAAAACAAATAATAGCCCCATTGACTTGTCTCAGTGGTTGACCTAAGAACCAGGAGATCACTGTTCGATTCCTGATCAGGGCACACGTCCTGGTTGCAGGCTCGATTCCCAGTGTGGGGTATTCAGGCGGAAGCTGATCAATGATTCTCTCTCATCATTAATGTTTCTATCTCTCCATCTCTCTTCCTGTCTGAAATCAATAAAAAAACAAAATTTTTTAAAAAAGATATTTGGTTTAAAAAAATTTAAAAATACCACACCACTATATGCTACCTATAAGAGACATACTCTTTTTAAAAAATATATATATTTTACTAATTTTTTTATAGAAAGGAATGGAGAGGGATAATCAGAAACACTGATGAGAGAGAAACATCGATCAGCCACCTCCTGCACACTTCCTATTGGTATGTGCCCGCAACCAAGGTACATGCCCTTGACCTGAATCAAACCCAGGACTTTTGAGTCTGCAGGCCGATTCTCCATTCACAGAGCCAAACCAGTCAGGACGAAACATACTCTTAAATACAAGGTTGGGCAAAAGTAGATTTATAGTTTGAATATGATAAATACAGTTTATCTTTGTATTATTTATTTATTCATTTATTATTTATTTGTATAACTATAAACTTATTTTGCCCACCCCTTTATAAAAATCAAAAAGGCTAAAGTAAAAAGATGGGGAAAATATACCGTGGAAGCACTTTTTAAAAGACACCTGGTTTCATTATTATCAGACAAAGAAGATATTAAGGGATGAAGCTGTATTAGAAATAAAGATTAGTTGGCCCTGGCCTGTGTGGCTTAGTTAGCTGAGTGTTGTCCCATGTACCAGAAGGTCACTAGTTTGATTCCCTATCATGGCACATGCTCAGATGTGGGCTTGATCCCCAGTAGGGTCCAGCAAGAGGCAGACAATTACATTAGTGTTTCTCTATTACTCCCCCCCCTTTTCTTCTACCCTAAAATCAATAAAAGCATTTTTTTTTTTTAAAAACGAATAAAGAAGGTTAGTTGATAGCAATGTAGAGGTCATTTTAATACGAAAGTGTTACTTCCTGAATCAGTAATGTAGCTTCAAAATATATAAACAGTTGACAAAAGAAATCTATAATAATATAAGCGTGATATGCTAGTTAGACCAGATGTCCTTCTGGACAAAGCTGGGGCTGAAGGAAGCCAGGGTCCCAGGTGCCAGAGGGAAGCCGATATTGGCAGCCAGGGGAAGGAAGTCCTATCATGGCCTATCGTGCACGAATTTCATGCATCGGGCCTAGAGAAATAAAAAAGAAATAAAAAAATTCACAATCATAGTGAGAGACTTGAAAACACTTTAATAGATGAAAGAACAGGCAGACAAAAATCTGTAAGTACTATATATACAGAATTGAACAACACAATTAACAGTCTTGATGTATTTGGCACTATACCCAAGAGATTCAGAATTTACATGGAAAAATATTCATGTTAGTCAAAACAAGCAAAACAAAACAATATATCAAATGATGTGATATGTCTGAATCTATTTTGGTTTAGAAAATAGGCATAGAAATAGGTTGGGAGAATAAATACTATTAAAATGTTGTGGTAGTGTGTTGTGTTTATAAATTTTATACTATAAGTCTTTTGTAGTCAGAATTTTAAAAATAAATGTTATTTAAACCAAAACAAAATAATTTAGAATATGTAAGCTACGTATGTGATGTGTTTAAATATGTGGCATTTAATACTACATTTAGAAAAGGATTTGGGATTTGATACTAATTTCCATATATCTATCTAGAACAAAAAACATTAAATATATTGAGGTTTTTAGAAAAGATTTTTATGGCAAACCACAAAAGATGTCCATCGATGAGGACTGTTAAACCAAAAGACTAGCTTTTGTTTTTTATACTGACTTTTTAAAAATTGTTACACACATTAGAAATATAATATTTTTTTTCTCAAATAGGATTGAAGTATTGTCTTTGTAGTTTTTCATCATTATTATTATTACAGATGCTTCTATCAGACTTTTCCCATCACCATATTGAAATGGCATGTACCCTATTGGAAACATGTGGAAGATTTCTTTTCAGATCTCCAGAATCTCACTTGAGGACCAGTGTACTTTTGGTAAGGGTTTGAGAATTCTAGCAAGAACTTGAGGTTGTTGATTTACTTCAGGGGTTAAAAATATTGACCATTGCCTGTTATCTTGCTTTATCATAAAAACAAACTTTTCTACCTTAACTAGAACATCGTGTACACATGAGCTGCCATTCCTGCTCAGCTGTTGGTATTTTTCTCACTTGGCTCTTAGTGAGTTAACAATATTGTGAACGGGGATTAAGCTTAAAGATAACTTTAAAAAAATCTTTATTGTTGAAATTATTGCAAATGTAGACATCCCTTTTTCCCCCCCATCAACCCCTTCTTGCTCACCCCTACCTCAGGCCTTCACCACACTATTATCTGTGTTTATGGGTTATATACATATGCATACAAGTTCTAATCAAAAATAACTTTTGACAATGATACAAATGAGCTGGTACTCTTAATACTATTACCTTAGATTGGCGTGCCATAAGCACATAAATTATAAGCTAAACATATATAATTAAATTTTAAAATTAAAAAACATAAAAATCTAGAATTTATTTATCCTAATCAAAAATATTAATGTGAAGGCCATCAAATAGAATTGATTTCCAAATTCTCTTTAAGTTTATATCATATTAATCATATAATAGTTATTCCAAGTTCAAATTTAATTATAACAAGGAGAAAATTTTTTCTCCTCTTTGGCTCATACTGATAGGTTAAATGAGACACTGCAAATAAAAAATGTATTAATCGAAACATGATGTTATTAACTAATGTTATCCAATATATTTAATTAAATAAAAATGTAATAAAGATGGTAGGAAAGCTTAGTTTTTATTATCTACTTTCTATTTATAACATTGAATCCTCAATATTTACTTTTTGCTGGGGAAAATGTTTACTAATTGTGGTAGTATGGATGAACATCACATTATTAAAAATCAGAGTCCTTCCTGTCTGACTGGTTTTCTTGGTTCAGTGGACCTTTTCCTCTCTTACAGCAAAAGAAGCTAGTCTTTATTAGTGAGTCTCTTGCTTTCTGGATAGGAACCTTATTTATCATTTAACATTTTTGTGGGACCTATGTGTCAGGCATGGTTAGGAGAAATGGTACAAAGAATGCAATTGCCAAAGTGGTTTATATCTAGTGCTAATTTGAATACAATGTTGTAAGTGCTTTAATAGAGCTATGCAGAGAACATTATGGGCTCATGGATGAAGTACTTTAGGTAGACTGATAAATCAAGAAATATCTTCCCTAACAGCTTCATGGCATTCACTGAGTATAAACTCTTATGTCAGACCGATCCTATATATCTTCCTATATCATAAAGAGGTAATATGCAAATTGATCATCACTCCAACACACAGGATGACTGTCCCCATGTGGTCAAAGATGGCCACCACAAGATGGCTGGCAGGGGAGGGCAGTTGTGGATGATCAGGCAAGCAGGGGAAGACAGTTGGGGTGGAGGGGACCAGGCCTGCAGGGGAGGACAGTTGGGGGGAACCAGGCCTGCAGGGGGAGGGCAGTTAGGGGTGATTGGACCTGCAGGAGAGGGCAGTTGTGGGGGACCAGGTCTTCAGGGGAGGGCAGTTAGAGGCAATTGGGCCGGCAGGGGAGCAGTTAGGCATCAATCAGGCTAGCAAAGGAGTGGTTAGGAGTAATCAGGCTGGTAGGTGGAAGCGGTTAGGGGCAATTAGGCAGGGAGGGAGCCAGCAGGCCTGGATTGTGAGAGGGATGTCTGACTGCCTGTTTAGGCCTGATCCCACCAGATTCAGGCCTAAACAGGCAATTGGACATCCCTCAAGGGGTCCCAGATTGGAGAGGGTTCAGGCTGGGCTGTGTGTCAACCCCACCCCCGTGCATGAATTTCCTGCACTGGGCCTCTAGTAGGGTATAAAAATGAAAAGTTAGTCCATGCTCTCTATACCTAAAGTTAGTCTATACCTAAAGTATAAAGTAGTTTCTTCATAACTTTCCATCTTAATGCTGTATTATTTTCCTTCATACCACTGATTATAATTATTATTTAAAAGACTGTTAGTTTTCTTGTTGAATTATTCATTCTGTCTTTTTACGCCAGACTGTTAGGCTTCACAAAGGTAGGAATCATGTCTGTCTTATGCACTGGTAAGTTTCAGCACCTGGAATAGTGCTTAGCACTAATAAGTGCTAAGTAAAATGTTTGTTGAATGACTGAACAAATTCAGTAATCTTAGTGCTTAGTATGATGCTATTTTAAGAATTGGTGCTATTAAGATTTTCAATTAGTCAGTGGTTCTCAACAGGCATATAGTGGATAGAGGTCAAGGTTGCATAAAACATCCTACAATGCACAGGACAACCCCCATTGCCCCACAACAAAGAATTATCCAGACCAAAATGTCAAGTTCAGAAAGCCTAAAGTCGATGATGATTGACTAGATCTGTGTTTATAAGACCTTGGGGGCTTTTAGTTTTCTTGTCTATAGAGACATGTTGGATTTATCTGGTACAGTATTGAATAGCACAAGCTCTGAGAATAATTTTTTTTCTCAGTTGATGTGGGACGACAGCCAGTATCCTTTTATTCGTATTTTTGGTTCTTAATTTCAGTCACTCATATATATGAAACTTGTCATACTTAGAGTTCATGTAGTTTGGCAGAGTTATAAATTACATTTGTAGCAGAAGTTCTCTGAGGAAAGACTAAAACCAAACAGTTATTAGCTAATTGGTTATAAACAATTGATCAGTGGTATAATAATTAGTCTGCTTGCAAACTCTTAGAAATACCAACTGATAGTTTTTTTCTTTTTCTTTTTCTAGACCTTTATCCTAAAATCTTATTACTGAGAATAGTAGCTTTGTTAGGAATAAAGAAACCTTAGAATGGAAATATTTTGACTAGTATAGACTTTTTATTTTAGGAACAAATGATGAGAAAGAAACAAGCAATGCATCTCGATGCAAGATATGTCACGATGGTAGAGAATGCATATTACTACTGCAACCCACCTCCAGCCGAAAAAACAGTGAGGAAGAAACGTCCTCCTCTCCAGGAATATATCCGGAAACTTTTGTACAAGGATCTCTCCAAGGTCACCACTGAGAAGGTAAATCTTAATGGAATCATGGAATAATGGTCAACTTGAGATTTGTGGTAGTTATATAATATTCAACTAAATTCTTTTTCATCCTAATGGTAATAGTATAAGCAGTGCCTGAAATTTTAGGTCAGAGACATAAATTTCAGTTTTCCTAGATTAGTTTATTTATAAATTGCTTCAGTGCTTCATAAATTATAGATAAGAAATGCAAGTACTTTGCATTATTCACATTTTGTAAATGGAGAAATTAAAGCAGAGCTTTTTCAAGTCTCAAAAGTGAAGTTTAGGAAAGTTGGATTTAGATCCCAAGTTCCGTTATGATTGACTATCCAAATGATGCTAAGAAATAATTCATGTGATGATACATAATATATGGGACAATCTTTTATTTTTCTATTATGATAACACCTTCTTACTCTAATTAAAAGGCCATTCTTCTAAATTTAATTTTGTTGTTGTGTGTATATATTCATATTCTGTAATGGATTTGCCTTTACATATTTTTCTTGAGAGCAGGGGATCTTAACCTTGAATGAGTGTTAGGAAGCCCATGGCCCTCTGGAATTTCATAGTTTTGAATCCTGGGGCTGTCTGTATTTTTCTGGAGATAAGGTCTGTGGCTTTCTTTAGATTCTCAGCAGGAGTCACTTTCCAGAAAAGTTTAAGAATCACTGATCTGTCAATTGAATTATTGTAGTTACCTTGCTAGATATGTAGTTACATATTCACTTTTAAGTTAGATATGTTGAGTGAAACTTTCCTTGGTTTATTCTGCAAGTTGAGACAATACAGTGTAGAACTTTTTTCTTTTTAGGAGATAAAGTAATGGAAATTAACTTCTGGATAGAGAACATATCAGAGGAGGATAAAAGGCACGAAATAATACATGGGTGGGATAAGAGGTAAAAGGAATGATAGTGCAGCTTTCAAAATTGAAATCAACTTTCGGAGTTGGAAAAATAGTTGTTTGAAACAAAAGGTTTTTGATAGCTGTTTAGAATTGACTAGAAGTTGAAAAATATAGAATGCTTATGAAGATGAGATGACATTAAAATTGCCAGTGAAGCTGATATGAGAAAATATTTAGTGTTTAAAAGATGGATTGTGGATATAGAAATGAAAGGAATACTTTGCAATCTGCCAATAACATCTAGATTCTTTCAGAATCAAAATGGATAGAATTTGATGATAGGTAGAGCTCTGCTAATTATCTTATTGACAGGGTCTTTGAAATTGTAATACCTGATTTTTATGGATATTTACAATGTGGCAGACACTTTCTTACATCACATGTTTTAACTTGTCTAATCCTTACAACAAACTAGTAAGTGGTTTTATTATCCCCCCTTTTACTGAGGAATCGGACACTGTAATGTCAATCTTGATGCTATGTCTCCATTTTAAGTGATCTTTTAACCAATTTGTTTGGGTTTGTTTGTTTATTTATTTATTGGAAATTTTTGATTTATACAAGAAGTGTCTAAGATTATTTAGATTAAATGAAGCACAAAAGAAACATTATTTTTGATGACTCTTGGGAATTTCTTTCAGTGTTCTTAGTGTATGAGTGTATACTGTTAACTTGATTGAAGACCTAGACCTAGACTCAGGAAATATGGGGACATTATAGAAAAATGGAGGAAAAATGTGAATACCTTTTGTCAATAATTAGAAAAATCTCATGTTTAATCTCTAACGTGAAAAAGCTGATAGAGGATTTCTGAAGTATTCCCATTTCAAAAGTTCTTAATCTGAATAATCATAATACCATATCTATACTATTGGGTACATTGGATTATATACTTCTCTAGTAATTTAAACAAAATTCTCTTTGTTTAGGTTTTGAGACAGATGCGAAAATTGCCCTGGCAGGACCAAGAAGTGAAAGATTATGTTATTTGTTGTATGATAAACATCTGGAATGTGAAATATAATAGTATTCATTGTGTGGCAAACCTCTTAGCAGGACTAGTGCTCTACCAAGAGGATGTTGGAATCCATGTTGTGGATGGAGTTTTAGAAGATATTCGATTAGGAATGGAGGTAACACAGAATTTCTTTAAAGTTGTCAAGTTGGAGTTTGGGAAGAATTTAAATAACTTTTAAATTCTATTATTGAAAAATAATTTGAAGACCTTCTTTTATCTATATGTTATCTCTTACTGTTATCTCTTCAGAATTACTGGTTTCTTAAACCCTGCTGTACTAGATTTCTATGCTTCTCTCAGGCAAATCCTGGGATTTATTTTGCCTCTTTTTCTCAAGTCCAGTTAAGCTTATTTTGGAAGAATATAGTACATTTTTATTATTTCTGGGTTACTATTGGGAAAATAAATTTATTAATTAGAAGAATTTTAATCATTAGGTAAAATTTCCTGTAAGCAGATCCCCCTTTTTTTAGGCTTATTGTTAATTCAGGATTATAGAGAAAATAAGATATATGGGGCTGATAAGGGAGAATTACATCTTAATTGTTTAATAGACTATCAAATCAATTCACTTAATGATAGCTTAATAATAAGTTTAATAGTTAACATATTTTTTTATTAAACTTAAAAAAAATTATTTGAATAACATCAATTAGCTGCCTTCCACATGTGCCCCAAACAGGAATCAAACCTGCCACCCTTTTGTGCATGGGGTCAACTGAACTACACCAAACAGGGCAACTTTTTTTTCTTTATGTTTTGTAGATACCCATTTCCTCTTTGAGAAAAAGGATACTCACAAGTGACCTTTTTTCATTAGAAAAGAAGCAAAGATCCCATTAATTTTTCTCTGTTCAGTGTTTCTTCAGTAATTGATACTGTCAAGTGACAGAGGGAAATTTTACCTCTTTTCAACCACATTACTGTTCTTTAATGCAAATCTTATTTTTCTTTTTTTCTTTTAGGTTAATCAACCTAAATTTAATCAGAGACGTATCAGCAGTGCCAAGTTCTTAGGGGAACTTTATAATTACCGCATGGTGGAATCAGCTGTTATTTTTAGAACTCTTTATTCTTTTACTTCATTTGGTGTTAATCCTGATGGCTCTCCAAGTTCACTGGACCCTCCTGAGCACCTTTTCAGAATTAGACTAGTGTGCACTATTTTGGATACTTGTGGCCAGTACTTTGACAGAGGCTCCAGTAAACGAAAACTTGATTGCTTCCTTGTATATTTTCAGGTATATAAGCTGAAATAATGCAGTTTGGCACCATTTAATACATTGTGTTACAAAAATATTCAAGCAGAAACATTATAACATTCACATATCACATATGAGATATGTCCATAATTAGAATAAATTTGATTTATTCTTTCTGCAGGGATGCTTTAGAGATTTTAAAAAGTTGATGAATTTTATCATATAAACATTCTAATTGCATTGTAACTTTTATATGATTGATTATTAATTTTGAAAATTATTTTGTTATACTTTATAAAATTGGAATGGTAATTTATGAATTATATTTGGTACAATAACTTATGAATTTAAAAGCTTGTGATTTATTTTTAGATGTAAAATCAAAAAACAGGTGTGTTTTGATTTTACATTTAAAATTTTTATTTTTAAATGATTAACTTTTTTTTTTTTTTAAAGAAAAAACTGTCACTCTGGGAAAAATGTTTTAACACAGGAAGAATCTCTTGAGTTGTGCTTTTCATATTTTAATTTTAGTTAATTATATAAGCTTATGATTTAGAGCAAGTAAAATATAAATTGAATTCAGGTACAAAAACGGAGATGTTTCTACTATTCCTTTAAAATAGGTGTTCCAAAAGTTAACTTTGTAGATTGGTTGTTTGGAATCCAGTCACTGTTTCCCATAAAATATTGAGTAGAGTGAACAATTCTCTGTTGAATTGTCCAGATGTTATTAAAAGAAGGTATCAATAGTACCATTAAAGTTTATATGATCACTATTTCTAGTATTGTTTTCATTCATCCATTGATAAAGAAAATACATTTAAAACTAAAACTGGAGGTATAAAAATACATCCACATAATGGCTGGTGTTAAGGGGGGAGGAGAGGTAAATATTCTTGGAGAAGAGCAGTTCATTAACTTTATCCTCCTGTGAGGAAGGAGATCGCACATTTGAGAATCAGATTCCCTTTGTCTCTAAGGACTGTCTTAGGTTGGAGACTGCCTATATTGAAATCCAGTTTTGCTGCAAAGTGTTAGCTGTAATTGTCAGCATCCAAAGTAGAATCTCTTTCAGAAGAGAATCCTTATTTGCATTTAATCTGACATCCCAGGTGGAGAGAAAAGAGCTATCCCAAAATATCCAAGAGACAAAGAGAGAGGCATTTTCCACATTGATTAACAGGCAGCAGAAATATGCACCAGGATTAAACCTGAGGGGATGCAGTAAGAAGTGAGGCCTGGGGATGAGGTCAGTGTGTTTTGCCTAGACTATAGAGTGAATAGTTATGTATTGGAAGGCCAGGTAGAAAGGATCACCGATAGCAGTGTTTCTCAACTTTAATGTGCATACACATTACCTGGGAATAGCATTAAAATGGTCTGGGGTGGGATTTTAGATTATGCATTTCTAACAAACTGCTTTGAAGCCTACAATTTTGAGTACCAAGGACCTAGAACAAACTGGGGAAGAAGAGTGAAGCACCCAGAACTGTGCTTCGCAAACTGTGTCTCGCAAGCCACATGCTACTCTTTGGCCCCTTGAATGTGGCTCTTCCCCAAAATACCACGGCCTGGGCGAGTCTTTTTTGAAGAAGTGGCATTAGAAAAAATTTAAGTTTAAAAAACTTGGCTCTCAAAAGAAATTTCAATTATTGTACTGCTGATATTTGGCTCTGTTGACTAATGAGTTTGCTGACCACTGACCCAGAGGATTACCTGTTTATACATATGTAAATTTTTGGGTTGTGCGCTTCAATTAATGTTAACTTACAAAGTATGAAACAGAATGAGGGACCCAGGGTAGGAGAAGAGAGGGAAAATATCCCAACAGTGCCATATACACAGTAGGTTTATACACAGTAATATAAAAATTAATCAACAATTCAATAAATGATTGTTGATTAATTTTTATATTTAAAACACCCATATATTTAGATACTTTAATTGACATTTTAAAAATCAAAGCAGGTATTAATATTATAGGGAAAATGATGAACATTTATCAAAACTATATTTTTGAATCTGGTTATTTTTGTAAACTTTAACCTTTAACCCAGTTTGGGAGTGGGGTTTCTGACTTGTTTCATTATCTGAAAGTTCATTTGATATTTTATTGACAATTTTTCCTTGTCTTTAAAAAGATTATGACAATTATAATAAAACAATATTTAGATTCAAGGCTTAGAAACTGTAGATGGAGGGAAATAATTGGAATTAGAATCATTGCTGTTGGCCATTAATGAAAATGGTAGGTGTCTTATTTACTTAGTTGTTATAGTTAGGTGACATAATGTTACAGGTTATTATTTAAAATATTTTTGTTATTAATATTTTATAGCTAAATTTATCTTTTGTTTGTCATCAGCGTTATGTTTGGTGGAAGAAAAGTTTGGAGGTTTGGACAAAAGATCATCCATTTCCTATTGACATAGATTACATGATCAGTGATACACTAGAACTGCTAAGACCAAAGATCAAACTTTGTAATTCTCTGGAAGAATCCATCAGGCAGGTACAAGACTTGGAACGAGAATACTTAATAAAACTAGGTAAGCTATTAATTACAAAGACAATGAAGGTTATATTTGGCAGATTGTTTTTAGAATTTGCTTTATAATATTACCAGAGTTTACCTTTGTATACTTTCCATTTTTATATTGGGTGTTACATAATATTAGGTAAGACATATGGGTGACATGTTTTTTTTTATTTCATTAAGTAATACCAAATTTGAGGTAAATACTTATGTAAGAATTGAAGCCAATGATAGTGATGAATAGATACAATCCTATTGGCCTCTCTTAATTTTAGAATTTTTGGTTGCTAATATAAAACCTACTTTTAATTAGAGCACCTCTTACAATACAGTACGTAATTTTAACAAGTGTTATTTCTTAAGACATTGTAGGCTAGAAACTATAGAAGGGGAATACTGTTAGAAGTTTGGAACTACCCTACACTACAGAATTTCAGACCTTATTCACTGGGAGAGTTGTCTCTATTTCTAAGGACTAGAGAAAATGTGAGAAATGTGCTACAGGAGAATTGGCCTATTTACTTTCTCTGTGTCCTTTTGAGATTGTTGTGGAATAAGAGTAGCTCTTTAAACACACACACACACACACACACACACACATATATATATATATATATATATATATATATATATATATTGATTTTAAAGAGAGAGGATGGGAGAGGGATAGAAATATCAATGAGAAACTCAGTCGGCTGCCTCCTGCATGCCCCCAAGTGGGCATGTGCTCTGACCAGGAATAGAACTGAGGACCTCTGGATTCAGGGGTTGATGCTTAACTACTGACCCACACTGGCTGAGTAGGAGTTAGCTCTTGAATAACAGTAGGAGCTAACTAACTTTGTGGAAATAACTGGAATATGTAACCTTACTACTCTGATTTATTTGCAGACAGTTGTTAGCAGGTTTCATTTTAGTCATTTTAAAGTGACATACATTTTGAGGCTATTAAGCTAGTATTTTATTTCCTGCTAGCACTTGGGATCTGTAAGTCTGTCATTAAAAGATCTTACCTTCAGCCGGGACCAGTTTGGCTCAGTGGATAGAGCGTCAGCCTGCGGACTGAAAGGTCCCGGGTTCGATTCCGGGCAAGGGCATGTACCTTGGTTGCGGGCACATCCCCGGTAGGGGGTGTGCAAGAGGCAGCTGGTCGATGTTTCTCTCTCATCGACGATTCTAACTCTCTGTCCCTCTCAATTCCTCTCTGTGTAAACTCAATAAAATATATTAAAAAAAAAAAAGAGAGAGAGATCTTACCTTCACCAATTATATTAATTGTATAAATTTACTGCATTGCATATCTGAAGAACTACTTTTCATAGTGAAAGCATTTGGTACTTTTCCCCCTCTAAAACTATTTTTTTTTTTATATTACATCCAGCATATTAGTAGGGTTTCTTTTTCCATAGATAAATCCTCTTTTGGAGAATATGATTGCTATTATCTATTTGAGCATTAATTTTAAAGGTGCTTCTGATTATGCAACTATTAACTTTTCTTACTACTCAACCCATAAAGACATAAGTGCATCTTTTTATACTTTGTTCCAAATTATCTACTTTCTTTTCCTTTTTAGACTTCTAGTTGTATAAAATTATCATTTTAAGCAAAGTGCTTATTTATCTATTTATTTATTTCATTTACTTTTTATGCTTTGAAATAATTGAGTCTTAGTCTTGTTTCTCAAAGACCTTTATGAATGATGCTCTGTATAGTGGGCATGAGGGAATACTAGTTTGACGCTAGTTTGGTAGCAGTAAAGAGAGCAGTGTGCTTTATCTTTTATTGACTGAAGTTTAAATTAAAAAACTTCAGACTATCCTGAGGAGTCTTTTTATATATGGAATGGGAAAAATAGATCAACATTTGCAAGTGAAACTCTGAAGATGGTTGTAACTGGAAATTATGTTATGGAGTTGTCCCAATTTAATTCTGTTTTAAACAGTCTAAGTATCAGGAAGAAAAGCTGCATGAATAAATCTACATTAATCCTGTTGATTAAATCCAGGAGATAATACAATATCAAGAGTCTTTGCTAGTTTTTGTGTTTTTTTTGTTCAAGCACTTAGCAAATTCATTATCTCAGTTTTATAGCAACAAAATTCTAGCATAATAGTTAATGGACAAACACTAAAATTTCTCTTATAATTATGCTTAATGTTAGTTTTAAATAATTTTTAATATTAATAAAGGTACTATATGTTCATGGCAGAAATTTTGAAAAATACCAAAAAGTCAAAAATCACTGACATTCATTCTTAAGGATAATTATGTATTAACATTTTGATATATTTTCTTTTCTTTAAATTTTTTCCTCATGTTTATACAGTTTTATAGAATTTCCCCCCACATAGTACATTATGAAATTTCTCCCTTACAAAAAGTACTTCTCTAAATCTTTATTATATTTTTTAAAAACTGACTATATTTCTTCGTATAAGTATACCATAATTTGTTTAATTCCTGTTGACACTTAGATTATTTCAAATTTTGCACCACTATAAATAATACACTTGAGTAATTTTCTTGTGCAATTTGATTTCTTAGTATAGCCAGAATTATTGGCAAGAACATTCTCTTTAAATTTAAGAACAAAATTAAGATGGTAATAAGCAATATTTAATTCTGATTTGGAAGTTCTCATTAGTATTATAATAAATGAAACAAAAAAGAGGAAAATAAAAGTAAAAAAAGGAAAGAAGCCATAAGAATAAATTATATTATAAATTTAAAGAGTGTATTTCATAAATTAGAAATAAAATAATTAGGATAGATAAAAGGCTAAAATTTTTCCAGTTAAATACAGAACAATAATTTATGGTGAGCAGGAATGTTAAAGATAGGTTAAGGGCAACAGGTGAGCATTTGGGAGGAAAATTGATAGAGAACCACATCTTATATCACCAAACTCTAGGTGGATTAAAGAGTTAAATATTTATTTTTTCAGAGTTAAAAATAGATTATCGAATTATCAAATATTTTCAAGGCTAATTTTATCAAATTTAAAATGATAGAAGAAAGTATACCTATAGATTTAGGTTTTTAAAACATCTATCTATATATATAAAAGGTTAAGTGTCCAACCACCCAACCAGCTGGTACATATGACATCAACAGGGGGCAGATGCTCAACAAAGGAGCTGCTGAGCTGCAGTGACTTGGCAGCCACAGTTGTCAGATGAGACACCCTGGAAACAGAGGAAGGTGTGTAGCCCTGCTTCCTTTCAATGTGCACAAATCCATGCACCAGGGCACTAGTATATAATAAAAAATTGATATGAAAATAGTTTTCTTGCTAGGTTGTTAGCACTTACATAAAGAACACAGATAAATTGGTAATAAAATAGAATACCCCAAAAGAAAAATGAGCAGGACATAATCAAATAAGAGAGAGCCCGGAAGAGTTGGTGTTTTTATTGAGTACTGCCTGATTGTCAGAATGATAGGAAGGTAATGCTTCTGATTTTTGACATAAGAGTTTAAGTAAAGCCCAAATCAAAACACTAGGTTAAGCAATCAAGTCAACTCTGCTCTTTCTGACATGTTAAGTATTTAGAGGAAATTCTCAGCATGTTTAGTAAACAGAGAAATGTAAATTAAAATACAATTTAAAAGGTAGTACTGTAGTTTATTACCATCTCTGCTATGAGCATGAAAATGGAGGCACAAGCAGATCAAATTTAAGAGGACAGTATTTGTTTTCTATCTCCAAGTACACTTAATTCTGACACACATTTAAATATTTTACTGTCTAGAGTTTGCATTTTGTTATCTCTGTTTTCTACACATACATTTTAATTGCATTGTTTAGATTGTAGTGACTTATGGTTCAGCAACTGGATTGTTATATAGTTTAGCAAATTCAGAATATAATACTTATAAATTGTTTTTGAAACTAAATTGCAATGAAAATAAAAATGTTATTAAATTGTATGTATTTTCCTTACAAATTAGAAGTGTCCATATCAAAACAAAGACTTACTATACAATATAGTTCTTCCCATGACACATTTTAAATGGATATAACAAGCATGTGATGGTATATGAGTTTATCACCACTGTGATATTTTTATTGAGAATGCTTAGATTTATACAGCCCTGATAACTTTTGTCCCTGATAACTTTTGTCCCTGATAACTTTTCCAATATTTTGCTTCTTCATGTCCCTAAAAATAAATAAAATTTACATATAAAGTCTATTTCTTTCTATGAAAACTAATAAGTAGTAGGTGGAAAATATTTAAGTTAAATGGAATTTAAATCTCAGTATTATTTTCCATGTAAAGTAGATCTTATTGAGCTTCATCCATCTTCTCAAAATTTTAAAAAAATTTCCAAACTTGAATGTATCTACTTTAATCACACTGTACTTCGATATTTTTTTTTTAATTTTTTTTAAATTGATTTCAGAAAGGAAGGGAGAGGGAGTGAGAGATAGAAATATCAATGATGAGAGAGAATCATTGATTGGCTGTCTCCTGCACAGCCCCTACTCGGGATTGACCCAGCAATTGAGCATGTGCCCTGACGGAGTATTGAACAATGACTTTGTGGTTCATAGGTCCATGCTCAACTAGTGAGCCACAATGGCCGGACATTCTCAGTGCTTAATTAATTGCTTAGACTTTGGACATTGGAGTGATTTTTTAAAAAAATATATTTTATTGATTTTTTACAGAGAGGAAGGGAGAGGGATAGAGAGAGTTAGAAACATCAGTGAGAGAGAGTCATCGATCAGCTGCCTCTTGCACACCCCATACTGGGGATATGCCCGCAACCAAGGTACATGCCCTTGACCGGAATCGAACCCGGGATCTTTCAGTCTGCAGACTGATGCTCTACCACTGACCCAAACGGGTTTCGGCGATTTTTTTTATTTTTATTGGTTGGGTTATTAAAACTCTCTGGGCTTCCATATTCCTCACAAAATGGAAGGGTTAAATCAAATCATTCTTTTTGTACTAATTGGCTAAGATTCTGTGAGTAAACAACTATTTACTAAACACTGTGTATCGATATTATCAATATATGGCCTCTGATAAGTTTTGAATATACGTATATAAGAAGTTCTTTGTTTTTAAGGGTCTTCTAATCTAATGTAATACTTCTGAAATTAAAAAAAAATTACACATACATATATTCTTTTATTTATTTATTTATTTATTTATTTGTTTTGAAGGCATAAAATTTTTTTTATTTAATATTAACATTGTGAGTTATTATCTTTTGCATATCAAAGTTACACATTTCAAACAAATTGTCATTTATATTTCCCACTAAATCATCACTTCCTTAAAATGGTAGATGTGATGTTATGAAATTAGCTATTAAGTATTTGAAATAGTGGAAGAGAGGTCCTTTCTTCAGTCTTTTTTCTTTTAAATATATTTTTTTGATTTTTTTTTTGCCCCTCTCCCTCCCTCCCACCACATACATTTATTCTTAAATGTAAAGTGTTCTGATAAACTCTCCAGGTGCTGTAAAAGCAAGTAGGGGGGAAAGTATTGGATTTTATTTTGAGAAGAGTATTGATGAGTAAGATTGCAAGGTAGTGTGCTTTTGAATGACAAGAATCTGACCTCACTATAGCAGAAGGCGTGGGAGAAAACATGGGAAAGAGATCCGATGAAGCCATATTATGTGCCTCTTGGAAGTAGAGAGGTAGTTTGGTATTCAGATGATAAGAGGAATTGAGTAGATAGATAGTGAATGTGGATGAACATGGGGAGATAGAAGCAAATTCAAGCCAGGGAGTTCCCTCAGGAGGAGAATGCTATTACTGAACAAAAAAACTAAGTTCTGTGGTGACACAGCTGTTAGGTGTGTCACCATATTGTTTTGCCTTTCCTTAGTCTTAATTTGCAGACATTCAAATATATAGTTAAATGTGATTTCTCCATTAAAGTGACAATTTTATATCTGAGTTTTTAGAGATCCTTGAAATATCAATACTTATTAAAATGTGGAACTGAAAAAATAAGTGGAATCGAGGTACATTTTATATGGCTGAGGTGGCATCTTATGTGCTGCTACTTTTTGAGAGTAAGATAAACAGTTTGAAACTCTAGAGAAGGGGAAAATATGTGTGTTTTTTTTCTTTTTTGTTAGTGACTAAAAATTATATCAACTAAAAGGAAGTTCTGTTTAATTTTTTAAATGTTTATCAAAATAGTTTTAAATTCTGTTTCTATTTACTGTTTTGGAAAAAATGGCTATTGAATTTTTTTTAATACATACTTTTAAATGAAGTGGTATTGAAAACTTGCCTTTATCTTTTTAAAATGTATTTTTCTACTTTCCTCTCACTGCAAGGCCTAGTAAATGACAAAGATTCAAAAGATTCTATGACAGAAGGAGAAAATCTTGAAGAGGATGAAGAAGAAGAAGAAGGAGGAGCTGAAACAGAAGAACAATCTGGAAATGAAAGTGAAGTAAATGAACCAGAAGAAGAGGTGATGACTTTAATTTATAGCAAATAGGTACATTTGTACTAGAGTATTTTGACTATATGAGCAAAATTTCCTTTATAAAATAAAATCTACCCCTCAGTTGTATGATAGTAAACTAGAGGCCTGGTGCATGAAATTCATGCACGGTGGAGGGGGTTTCCCCTCAGCCCAGCCTTCACCCTCTCCAATCCGGGACCACTGGCTCACAAATGCTCGCCTGCTTGCCTGTCTGGTTGCCCCTAATTGCTTGCACCCCCTTTCCTCCCCCCTGCCCTTGCCGGCCTGATCACCTCTCACTGCCTCCCGCTGCTTCCTCCCTGCTGGCCTGGTTGCTCCTAACTGCACCCCCTCTCAAACTGCCCCATACCCCCGCCAGCCTGGTCACCCCACTCAGTCTGCTGGTCAGTCGTTTGGTCGTCCCTCACTAACCCCCCTGTTGGCCTGGTTATAGGCAACCATCGTGTGAGGGTTAATCTCTTTATAGGATATAATTGATAGTATCTCTGAAATAAAATCTCTGGATTCATTAAGGTTTTTTAAGAAGTAAATACTGATTATAGGATTGTTTTTTATTATTATTTAATCATAGAGGAAGGCAGAGAGAGAGAGAGAGAGAGAGAGAGAGAGAGAGAGAGAGAGAGAGAGAGAGAGAGAGAGAGAGAGAAGAAGCATCAATGATGAGAGAATCATTGAACAACTGCTACACTGAGGATCAAGCCCACAACCCAGGCATGTGGCCTGACCAAGAATCGAACCATGATCTTCTAATTCATAGGTCAACGCTCAACTACTGAGCCACACCAGCAGGGCTGTTTTTATTAATACTATCTTTTTAGAGTAGTTTTAGATTTATAGCAAAATTGAGGGGAGGTAAGGAGACTTCCTGTGTACTCCATGCAGTATCCCAGACATGCACAACCTCCTCCTTCAGTCTTCACTAGAATGGTACATCCGTGCATTGATGAACCTACAATGTACAAATTCTACATCGACACATCATTATCACCCAGTCTATAGTTTACATTAGGGTTCATTCTTGGTGTTGTATAGTCTATAGACATGTATTATTATGGTTAGGATTTTTATTTAGTAAGCAATTTGAAGAAAAATGTTGTTGGTTCTTCTGTGTCTCTTAATCTTACTTTTGAATATGAACTTTTAATCTGTGGGTTTTATGAAAAAAAATTATTGACTACATATTAATGAACTTAGCTTTTTCTCTCTCAGATATAATGGTATAGAAATCTGAAATTCATCATGCACTGTGATAACATGCCCTGTTGTTTTTATGACTCTATTAGACTACACCATATGAAATTGATCTTCTATTTGGACCTACCAAAATATCATTTTTTATATAGATTAAGCTAATGGTTTTAATTCTTTCCTTTTTACTTCTAAACCTGCGTAAGTTTTAAAAGTTTCAGCTAAAATAATAGAATGTCTGAGATTTGCTTCATGATCTGGAGGTAGACTGGGGAATGTTAGGGGTATGGAAGAAACTAGAAACTGATCATGAGCTAATAGTTGTTCAGTTGTGAAATGCATAACTAAGGGTTCATTAAGTATCCTGTCTCTATTAAGTATATTTAAATTAGAAAGTTAAAAAATAAAAAGAAGGATGCATAAGAATAAAAAATAATGAAAATAAAATTTAAACCTTGGAATTAGCACTTTCTCATTTGTTTTAGTATAAGTTTATAATTATTAAGGTTAATATTAAGGTGTGTGTGTGTGTGTGTGTGTGCTTAAAGCATTTAAGAGAGTATGATAACTTAGAAGTGTTATTTAAACTTTTCTGAACCTTGGGTTTTTCATGTATAAAAATGGGGACAGTAAAGCTTATCCTTCCTTCTTTAGAATTGGGTAAAACAAAAACAAAATGAAGTATGTGAGCACACCTTCCAAACTGAGATGCTTTTATACAGTGTAGTGCTTTATAAAATTAAGTCACTGCTTTCAATTGGTAATGATGTTAAAATGAATTATTGCTTTGTAGAATTGGATGGATATTAAAAACCAATTATGACAAATTCAGGCTCTTAAGTTAGTTAGGGAGGAAAAAAATACACAAGGTTCAGGAAACCCATTCTTTGTGGAATTCATGGAAGAGATTCTACAAAGGATCTTTGTGTTATTAGATTAGTGAAAGATAGTGAAATGGGATTTCAGCTGCTGGTATGTAGTAACTGTTGCCGCTGACTTTGCCCTACATTTGGGAATAATAAACAATTATATAGACGTTTTAAAATCATTTTAAGGTATGTAAAATTAATTACCCTTTCTAAAATGTTTTAATCATCTAATGTTAAATTTCAGGAGGGTTCTGATAATGATGAGGAGGAAGGAGAGGAAGATGAGGAAGAGAATACAGATTATCTTACAGATTCAAATAAGGAGAATGAAACTGATGAAGAAAATACTGTATGTATGGCTGAAAATTTGCTTCTTGAAATTGTGCAACATTTTCATAGTATTTCAGTTTTATTTCTTATAATTATTGAAAACTATTTCTTTAAGTGTTTATTTTCAGTTTGTTTTCCTAAATACTTTTTTTTAACAAGTTCTTTTAATATTTAATAATGTTATATATTTTACTCACTCATTCCTTAAGTATGTTAAAGAAGTTAAGTTATCAAATACCAAAGTTTCTGTTATACAAAACATTAATGTTACAATTTCTGGTATGATTTCTTATTTTTGTTTTGTTTTAATAAGGAGGTAATGATCAAAGGAGGTGGACTTAAGCATGTACCTTGTATAGAAGATGAGGACTTCATTCAAGCTCTGGATAAAATGATGTTAGAAAATCTTCAGGTATGAAATGTTGTTCTAGTTCACAATATCTCTCAATACAAAACATTGCAGCACATTCAGTTCTGGTTAATAGAAAGGTCTCTACTATGTAAATATTTGGCTTTGTAGCATTTTCCTTATTTGTATAGTTTGCAGCTGCCAGTGCTTGGATTTCATGTCTTGATTTGTACCTTTCTTTAAGATAGTGTGGGAATAAATGTTGTAAATACAAGACCTGGAATAGAGTAATTTCATTATAGCAACTTTCACCTTTTCTTTCTGAATCATCTCTAAGACCCTTTACTTGCAGTTTGGTTAGGAGTCATACTTTGCAGAAGATAAGTATTTAGGGAAATTTAATTTTGTAAATTCCTAAGTTTGATATATAATTTGAATAACAAGTATTTAGAGGAATATTAGTTATTTGATGTTTAAAGAATTGTTAATTATTTAATGTATTCATGACATTAAAACACTGGATTTTAGAAAAAGCTCTGTCATGCCAGTAATTTAGAGTAATTATGTTTTCCTATAGAGCTTAAATCTCATAGATTGTATACTTGAGCCCTATACATACTAGCTGTTGTTAAACACTTTGGTGACTTGAAAAGAGTACTTTTGTTGAAATGGTGGGATGAAAGCTACTTGGGGTGGGTTTAATAGAAAATGAGAAGAGATGAGGTGAAAATGATGGCTAACAGATATAGCTAACTCTTAAGGAGTTTTACTAGAAAGGGAAGAGAAATGGGGAGGTAGCTAAAAAAGGTCAGAGTTAAAAGAGGTGGATTATTATTGAGATTAAAGATACTAGTGGATTATTATTGAGATTAAAGATACTATTAAAAATAATAGTAGAGTCTGTATACTTGTGGGGAATAATCCTTTAGAGAAAAAATAATGGATTTTACTTACATTGCTGCTACTAAGGCTGAGGGCTATGATAATGTACAAATTACTACTAAAGGTGTAGTAGGCCAATTTGTTCATGTATCTAGAAAGCTCTTAATTTAGTAAATAAATCTTACATCACTTAGAGCACAAATCAAATAAAATAATCATTATAGTCTGCTAGAGGCATTGTGCATGAAATTTGTGCACAGGTGTGTGTGGTGGTACCCCTCACCCTAGCCTGCACCTTCTCCAGTTTGGGACCCCTTGGAGGATATCCAACTGCCGGTTTAGACCCGATCCCAGGGATCAAGCCTAAACCAGCAGTCAGACATCCCTCTCACAATCCAGGCTTGCTGGCTCCCAACCGCTCACCTGCCTGCCTGCCTGGTTGCCCCTAACTGCCCCCCCACTCCTGCCGGCCAGGTCACCCCCAACTGCACTCTCCTTGCTTCCTCTCCCCGTCCCCCCTCCCCCCCCGCCAGCCTAATCGCCCCTAGCTGCCCCCCCCCCCACTTGCCTGATTGCCTCCAACTGCCCCCTTTGCTGTCTTGGTTACCTCTAATTGCCCGCCCCCTCCCCCGTGGCCTGGTTGTCCCCAACTGCCCCCCCCCCTCCCGCCGGCCTGATCACCCCACGCAGCCTGCTTGTTCAGTCATTTGGTCACCCCTCACTATCCCCCCTGCTGGCCTGGTCACCCCATGCAGTCTGCTTGTTTAGTCGTTTGGTCATCTCTCACTAATGCCCCTGCAAGCCTGGTCGTAGACAGCCATCTAGTGAGGGTTAATTTGCATATTACTTCTTCATTATATAGGATACTCCATGTGATAAGATAATAAAACAATTTTCTTTATAAAGAAATTTTTCCTAACTTACATTAGTCAGAAGCCACTTATTCATTTGTCTAACAAGTATTTATTGAGTACCTACTATGTGCTTAACTGTGGAGCAACAGGTTTACTATAAAGTAGTACGTAAAAAAAACAAAACAAAAAAACAGATCTGCTTTCTACTCTTAGAATGTAGTTTTATGGGGAAGGCAGATATTTAACAACTAAACAAACACATACTTTCAAATTGTGATAAATATTCAAGAATTAAAAGAACAGTGTTTTCATAGAAAGTAAGGGAAAGGACCTTCTTGAGATAAGATAATCAGGGAAGGCATCTCTGAGATCATGACTTCTAATTTTTAAAATAATTTTATTGGGTATTTATAGGATATTTTCTTTTTTTTTTTAATGTATTTCTATTGATTTCAGAGAGGAAGGGATAGGGAGAGATAGAAGCATCAATGATGAGAGAGAATCATTGATCAGCTGCCTGCTGCATGCTCCCTACTAGGGATCGAGTCTGGGACCCTTCAGTACAGGCTGACGCTCTATCTACCGAGCCAAACCGGCTAGGGCTGAGATCATGACTTTTAGAAAAGACAGGTAAAATGGAGTCATGTAGGGGAAATAGGGGAATGATTTGTTGAAGTTCCTGAAGCAGAAAAGAACCAGAAGGTCAGTATTAATGGAACCTCGTCAATCTGTGGAAGAGTAGCACAGCATGAGAATAGATTATTGAATGGGACACCTTTGGAGTGATGCCTTCGACAAACTAAAAGCAGGGAAACTGCTCAGAGAGACTGTTGTGGTGTGTGACATGATGGTCATCTATTTGATAGTGCGTGGGCACCTGGAGAGAAGTCTGGATTTGAGCTAGATTTATTTGGTGCTTGATTGGATAGTGGTGTAGGGAATGAGGAGTCAAGGATGATACTCAATTTTTTTTAGCTTGGGCCACTTGCTAGTCTCTCTGACAGTCAACAGGGGCAGAGTGAGCAGGCATTCCACTTGGCCATGGTAAGTTTGAGAAGCCTATGGAAATGTCTGGAGATCATAGAAACATAAATAATGGAGATGTCTGGAGATCAAGAGAAACATAAATGGAGTGATTGTGAGAGCATATACAGTGATGAAACCCACCAGTCTTGAGGGGAGACTCACAGATAAACAGGCAATTATGACATACAAAAATTATGAGGGAAGATGTGCGCTATGATTATGACTGAAAAGGCACAGTACATTACAGGAACAGGGAAATTTTGTAGAAGCAACAACATTGTGTGTTTGGCATGGAGGGGCTGGAGTGATAACCTGGAGCCAAGTCACAGTTCTTCACGGGTTAATAAAGGTTTGGGGGCCATCTGCACAAAGGTTTCATCTGCACAAAGATTACTCAGACTCTAATTATTGTGTTTGAAAAAATGTAACATTGAATGAATTGTTTGCAGTTTATATTGACATATATCAGTGTGCCTTGGAGTATTTATGTTTTTTCATTTCTGTCTTTAAGCAACGAAGTGGAGAATCTGTTAAAGTGCACCAACTTGATGTTGCTATTCCCTTGCATCTCAAAAGTCAGCTGAGGAAAGGACCCCCACTTGGTGGTGGAGAAGGAGAGACAGAATCTGCAGATACAATGCCATTTGTCATGTTAACTAGAAAAGGCAATAAACAACAGGTAAGAAAGGCCCTCTGTTATCATAATTGATAGAATCAAGTAGAAGGAGTAACTGTATTTTTTAGGTTCTAAATTGTTTTTTGCCTACAAAGGGAAAAGAGTTGCAAGTATTCTGTGGTAGAAATAATTTCATCTAGTATATATTCAAAAGACACATCTCTGACTTGTACAGAATGGTATTTTTGAATGGAAAGGACATTTATTTCAGTAGGGAAGGTTCTTAAGTATGCTCATAGTTGGAAAGGCAAAGATGACAGATACATCTCAAGAAAATGCTCAGGCCCTGCCCAGGAGCTAAGGGTTGGTTAAAGCGTTGTCCCTATACACCAAGGTTGCGGGTTCCATCCCCAGTTAGTGCATATACAATAATCAACCAATGAATGCATAAATAAGTGGGACAACAAATTGATGTTTCTTTTGCTTTCGCTCTCTCCCCCCCCCCTCTTCCTTCCTTTCTCTAAGAAAAAAATGAGTAAAAATTTAAAAAAATGAAATATGTTGATAATGAAAAAAAAAGGAAATGCTCAATTGTTACGGTTTTTCTTAAAAATAATTGTTTTTTGACTCTGGATGCTTCTCCATTCTCCTTAGATTGCTTCCTTCTTCTTTCCTGTACTTCACAGATGGCCCTCAGAATCATTTCCCTGTTAAGCTGTTACTTCAGAGATACATACATTGACAGCTTACATCCTGCTGAGGGAGATAGATAAACATCATATACTTGCAGATAGTGAAAAGTGCTATGAAGAAAATAAAGCCCAGCTCTCAGACACACTCTAAGATATATCATGCATTACCAGTGCTGCAGGAGTATTTTTTAAATCAAGTTGCTGCTTAAAGTTGATAGAATCTTGTGATAATTGACAGAAAATGCTGCATTTTCCTGATTAGTGGTATGTAAAATAATCTTATAATAGAATCTTAGATTCTATGAAATAGGGTAGGTTCAACAACTTCTCTTAGAGTTTAATACCTGGCTCCCACACTCATTCAAATAGTCGTTTAACAGATATTTATTGTTTACTTGCTACATTATCCTATGTGTAGAACATACAGCAGGCAAGCAAAGTCCCTCCTCTCTTTGGGAGATTTCATTCTATTTATGGAAGACGGACAATAAAATACAAGTTACTATGAAGAAAAATAAAAAAAGATAAGAGGATAGAAATCGACTGGGTTGGGCCATGAGAGGGAGATTACTATTTTAGGTGGATGATCAGGGAAGACCTCTAATAAGGTATCTCCTATGGTGGAAGGGATATTCTGCTCCCTCCCTACCAGTGCACTCTCAAAGAGATGATTGCCTAAATTTTATCTTTGCTTTTGTTATATAATTTCATATTTACACAAAGAATTAAAGTTGCACAGTAAACCATTATTTTGCTGTAGTGCAGGTGAATCTTGTGATTTAAGAACTATATGTTAATTAGAATGTGGAATGAACGTTGGAAGGGATTTATATCATGACTCATTTTTTTTTTAAAGTATATTTTATTGATTTTTTACAGAGAGGAAGGGAGAGAGATAGAGAGCTAGAAACGTCGATGACAGAGAAACATCGACCAGTTGCCTCCTGCACACCCCCCACCGGAGATGTGCCCGCAACCAACGTACATGCCCTTGACCGGAATCGAACCTGGGACCTTTCAGTCCGCAGACCAACGCTCTACCACTGAGCCAAACCGGTTTCAGCTCATGACTCATTTTTATAGTTAACTTTGACTTAGGTTCAGAGCCCTGCTGTAACTTTTTCAGATACTGTGTTCATAATTCCTTTCCACTCATAAGTTCTTTCTTCATTCTCCAGTATGGTGCATTCAGGAAAGTTTCACCCTGTCTCATCCTCATGTCAAGGTTAAATTCTTGCTTGTCCTCCACTCATTCTCTGGAAAAATGAGGAATTCTTTGAACTTTGCACAATTGCTGTCCTCAGTACACATGGAACTGCTAGTTTATCACAGTTAACAGGATATTCAAAGTTCAGACTTTTTGCTTTTCTTGGGACTATGTTCTCTGTAATCGACTTTTATTTCTATCATTGCATTTTAGGACTGCTTCATTTTATTTTTCTTTATAGCTTTCAGTTCTTAATACCAGATGTTTGGGTGCCAAAAAAAGAGCGTCTCCTCCCCTCCCCGCCCCTCCCCTCCCCTCCCCTCCCTTCCTTTTACTCCCCTCCCCTCCCCGCCCCTCCTTTCTCTTCCCCTCCCCTCCTTTCCCTTCCCTTCACTATTTATTCCCCTATACCCTCTTCCACCTTCACCTATCCTCACCCCCAATCACCATACCATTATGTCTATGAATTCCTTCTCTATTTTTTCTTTTTTGCTCAATACCTCTATCTCCCCAACACCCTTGCCACCCAGAAGATCTGTATGTCTGCTTTTTGTAAGTCTGTCTCTATTTTGCTTGTTAGTTCAGTTCGTTAAGTTCCACATATGAGTGAAATATGTTGCTTATCTTTTTCTGCCTGGTTTATTTCAATTAGCATAATACTCTCCAGGTCTACCCATGCTGTTGCAAAGAGTAAAATTTTCTTCCTTTTTATGGCTGAGTAGTTTTCCATTGTATAAATGTACCATCACTGTTAAAAAGGTGTGTTTGTTATTGTGAAGGGCAATACGTGATAACTTCAGTTAGCAGTACCTTAGTTCCTATTCCCTTGTAGCTCTTGCAGCTACTGAAGGAATATAATTACACAGAGTAATCTTATATACGGTACGTTTTTCATTTGTCCCTCCCTTTTGTGAAGCACACATGAAAATTCATTATACCATTGTCAACTTGTTTACCTCATATGACCTTTTCAGAAATGAAATAAAAAACCTTTCTTAAAAATAATTTTGAGCTTTGAACAATAAATTTATTTCAGCAGACTTAAATTCTAACTCATATGGCTCAAAATAAGACAGTGTACTTATTTATTAAAAGGAATGTTTTTAGTTTAAAGTGGGTAGATTATATACTGTGTAACCCATGTAGCTTTATATAAAATGAGTAGCAGTCCTTCTTAAAATGGGAAATTTTGTTTAATTTTTAAGAAAACAGTTTTATTGAACTTTATTAAAAAAACATTCTCAAACATGAAATGAGAGTTCAAAATACTTGGTTATTAAGTATATTTTCAACTCAAACTTTATTTGGAATTTTGGAAAAGGTTCAACTTTATGAACATTATTTGAGAAACATCACTGCTCTTTTGTGGTCTGAAAAAGAAAATACATTTTGTTCAGGTTTTTATTTCTTTATTTGCGTTTTGGGTGTTGGCCCTTTTGGTGCAACGGTTTTTCTAGAAATGTGAAATGTGTTGCCTTTATAGGAATCTTTGGTTCTTAAGTGAAAGATCTCTTTGTGTACAAATTTGTACTCAGAAATAACTTTCTCCTGTAGTCATTAGGAAAATACAAATTTATACCACTGAGGTGAGTAGGTAGAAAGAAAGAAGGATAATTCTATTGATATTTTATCTAGGTTTAATATTTATAAATTAGAATATTGAGTTGAAATAAAATGTTTTGATTACTTAAATGTTTTAAATTAATAAAATCATGATTTTATAAAGCTATTTTATTATTTTGAACAAATACACAATATATTATAGTTTAATAGTTGTAAACAACCCTTTTTTCAGTTAATATTTATAAGGAATCATTATTTGTTTTACATATCTTTTGACTGGAGTAACTGATACTATCTGTCATAGTAACTTGGGATTATATATATGTGTTTGGATACATATATGTATTTTTTTCTGCAGTTTCAACTACAGTTATGAAGTTGCTTTATTTTTAAATGTATTTATTTTTAACATATTTGTTTTGATTTTAGGGAGAAGGGGAGAGAGAGATAGAAATGTAAGTGATGAGAGAATCATTGATCGGCTGCTTCCTGCATGCCCCACACTGGGGATCAAGCCTGCCACCTGGGCCTGTGCCCTCACTGTGAATTGAACCATGACCTACTGGTCCATAGGTTGATGTTCAACCACTCAGCCATGCCAACAGGGCTAAATTTATTTTTTATTTTGACAGTTTTACAGATATTCCCCATTTCCCCCCACTTTTCCTCTTCCACCCAACTCCCTGCCCCACCCCAGGCCTTCACCACTGTACAGATATGCATATTAAGTTCTTTGGTTAATCTGTTTCTGTCCCTTACACCCACCTCCCATCTGAGATATATCAGTCTGTTCCATGCATCCATACCTCTGGACCAGTTTTGTTCATCAGTTTATTTTATTAATTGAAGTAGCTTTAAAATACAGTGTAAATCACTATTACCCATTATCATATTCCAGGAAATCTAATTGAGTGACTATAGTTTTTGCCCATCTAACTTGCTATAAAGAAGAACCTCTCTTTTAAAAATATATCAGTAGCTTTATGTCAAAGGCACTGGAGAGGATGGCATCAGGAAATTTGTCTCTTGTGCTCCTTCTTTTCTATTCTTGTAAAGCACATACTACATGAGAACTTTCCCTTTTGTAAAACTTGTATCAGGTCATAAAGTGTTTTTGCATTTATTTATAACTAGAGGCCTGGTGCACGAATTTGTGCACTAGTGGAGTTCCTCAGCCTGGCCTCAAGCCAAAACCGGCTCTCTGACACTCCTCAAGGGGTCCTGGATTGCAGGAGGGCACAGGCCAGTCCAAGGGACCCCACCAGTGCATGCTCGGGGCCAGGGAGGGACACCGGAGGTTGGCCAGCTGAGGAGGGACCGTGGGAGGGCTCTAGGGCATGTTCAGCCTGTTTCACTCAGTCCCGATCAGCCGGACCCCAGCAGCAAGCTAACCTACTGGTTGGAAAGCATTTCTACCCTGGGACCCTTGAGTCTGCAGGCCAACACTATATCTACTGAGCCAAACCAGTTAAGGCATGGATTAGCATTCTTATGCAGTTTTAAGCTTTACTAATAATTTAAGGATGCAGGCATTTAAAAGCATAGGTCACGCAGGCAGAAGTCTGGGATCCTGAGCACAGCTCTCCACGTCTTTCCTTTCTGCATCAGACATTCCTTTAGTTCAGAGTATTAGAGGAGGACTCTATAATGAGGGGGTGCAAATTATACACAGCAGAGAGAATTTAGGCTACAAAACATCTCCATTTATTACTCAGATAGTTGCATAGCTTACTTAACAATTTCCAGGGAGCTCATATATTTATAGGTCTTATCTTATTTTGTATACCTTGTGCAATTATAAACCAAGGACATCCTGCTGAAAACAAAAACATTCCATAGGTAAGGACTCTCTTGCATATCCGAAATAGATCTTGTATGTCAGTTCCTTAACTCTTCCTTCTTTCCAGCATCACAGCTATCTTGAGAATTATGAAGGTCTGTTAATACTGAAGGTGGACTAGATTTGTTAAGTATTGTTCAGGAGGGAAAAACTGGTTCCAGAGCATAGAAATGAAAAGGATACAGATTACAGTTTGCTACATAAAGCCTTTCTGACAATTATATGAGAAGGTCTACAAAATGGAAATGCTCTCATTGCTAGGTGTGTGCTGCCAAGCAGGGTGCAGGGAAGAGGAGCTTCTGCTTTTCATGGAGGTTGAACTTGATGGCCTCCACTTCCCATTCAAATCTAATAGGTTTGTCTCTAATAAAGTAGTACTATTTTCTGTGTATGTTCTTAGATTTTACTGTCTTTACTGACTTACGGGAAAGGAAAGACATTTTTTTTTCTAAATTCATTTAATTCTTCTTGTTATTTTATTTGAAATCTTTTTTTCCCCTCTTGATTTTCTCAAGTCATTTGTTTTTTCTTTTTTCCCCCCTCAGTTTAAGATCCTTAATGTACCCATGTCTTCCCAACTTGCTGCAAATCATTGGAACCAGCAACAGGCAGAACAGGAAGAAAGGATGAGAATGAAAAAGCTCACGCTAGATATCAATGAACGACAAGAACAAGAAGATTATCAAGGTATAAAATCATTTAAAGGACAGAAGTAGAAATATTTGATTCTTTTAGGTCTTTTAAAATATAGAAAATAAACATTATGTTGACCTTTCCATATCATGTTTATATATATTTAGTCTGAGAAGTTGAATGTTTTTTTTGTCCATTCTATCTTCATTTTTCTCTCACCTATTTATAAAATAAAAATAATTGTCTTCATAATTTGCTAATTCTATAACTCAATTAGGTTCCATACCAATAGAGCTATGTTTGCAAGTGAGATAATTTTTAATCATGTCAGCCAAACTGTGAGCAAATTAACTCAACAAATATTTATGATCTCTTTTTGCCTGTTTGGAAATCCTGGTCTTGAGGAACCCATGTTCCTTCATATTTGAGGGTGTGCTCAAATTAGAGCTCTACTTTTATATAGACACTAGAGGCCCAATGCACGAAATTTGTGCAAGAATAGGCCTTCCTTCCCCTGGCTGCTGGCACCGCTTTCCTCTAACACCCGGTTCCTGGGCTTACCTCCAGCAACTGGGACCTGAGCTTTTTTCCAGCCACCAGCAGGCTCCCAGGACCTGGGCTTCCCTCTCAGCTTGGTTTCACCTGGAAAGTTGTCTGGAAGGATGTCTGGTCTAATTAGTATATTATGCCTTTATTATTATAGATTATTATAGATACTTAATATTCTTGGATTAACTGGAACTTTATGCAAAGAATCCATGGATATCTCATAAGCCATCTTTTTGGCATCTCGGTGGCACCTAGATTTTAGAGCCATAATATAGTTGTTTATATAATATTATACTGACAAACTGCTTTTTAAAAGAAATTTTATTTTATTGATTTCAGAGAGGGGGAGAGAGATACAAACATCAGTGATGAGAGCTAATCATCAATTGGCTACCTCCTGCATGCTCCCTACTGGCTGTTGAGCCCACAATCCAGGAATATGCCCTAACTTGAATCGAACTGTGCCCTCCGTGGTTCATAGGTTGATGCTCAACAACTGACTCACACTGGCCAGGCTGGCAAAATGCCTTTTTGTGCAAGCGATTGTTGTGTAAATAAACACTCAGTTTCTGTCTTTAAATCTCACTTCTAGCATCTCCTCTTCCAGTTGATGGACAGCATTCTTTTTTAAAATAATGTAATTCTTTATTGTTGAAAGTATTGCATATGTCCCTCTTTCCCCTCATTGACCCCCTCCAGCTCAGACCCACCCCTACCCCAGACCTTTACTCCCCTCACTCCCCCCTCATTGTCTGGATAGACAGCATTCTTTTTATTTTCCTTTTTTCCCCCAATATATTTTATTGATTTTTTAGAGAGGAAGAGAGAGGGATAGAGAGTTAGAAACATCGATGAGAGAGAATCATCGGCCAGCTGCCTTCTGCACACCCCCTACTGAGGATGTGCCTGCAACCAATGTACATGCCCTTGACCGGAATCGAACCTGAGACCTTTCAATCGGCAGGCTGACGCTCTATCCACTGAGCCAAACCGGTTTCGGCTAGACAGCATTTTTAATAAACTACACATATAAAAGCCTAAGTGACCATCCGACCGTTGGCCATTTGCTCAGTAGCTGTGATGCACAATGAACACCAGGGAGCAGACGCTCTGACCAGTAGAGGAGGGAGCCTGATTCCTTGTGGAATCAGTCATGGGTCAGGTTGCTGCTGGGGCACTGTTGGACCCGAATCTGCTTCACCTGCATTCTAGACCCATCGGGGGATGTTGGAGGTCTGGTTTAATGGATTCGTGCATTGGTGGGGACCCTCAGCCTGGCCTGCACCCTTTTGCAATCTGGGACCCCTCGGGGGATGTCAGAGAGCTGGTTTTGGCCTGATCCCTGCAGGCCAGGCCGAGGGACCCCACCAGGCCTCTAGTAAACAATAATAGGTAATATTCAGTATAACTATTGGCCAGATACTGTTTTATGTACTTTTTCAAAGCAGTTAATCCTCACAGTTCTATAAATGATTATTATTCACATTTTATATTTAGGGAAACTGAATTCAAAGTCCCACAACTATTGTAATTAACAGCAGAACCAATATTATCCTGTTCCAAAAACAGTATTACTATATCTCATACTCTTTTACTGCCTCACAAGATACTTACTATAAAGGCCAAATTGACAGTAATGGAGACATGAGATTTTAAAGAGCAAATCTCATTTCTTGATGTGATCTTTCAGTATTTAACCATTTTAATCTGTTTAACGGTCATTTTCTTTAGTCGGCAACCTGACTGAACTAATACACGTGATCTCTCTAGGGTGTGTTATGCTTCATGGGAGAGAACATTTACCAGAGTTTACTACGTTTTCTATTTTGCTCCTCATGACAGAAATGCTGCAGTCTCTTGCCCAGCGCCCAGCTCCAGCAAACACCAATCGTGAGCGGAGGCCCCGTTACCAACATCCAAAGGGAGCACCTAATGCGGATCTAATCTTTAAGACTGGTGGGAGGTATGACTGTCGCTCTCATTTCTCCCTTAGCTCTTCTGTGTATAAATTAGGTAATTCTGGATTATCGTTCATGATAAAGACCTAATTATTAGCAAAATAGAAAAGTCTTCGTGTTATAGGTATTTAAGAAAAGAAAACTTATTTATAAAATAGTTACAGGTTTTTGGTTTTTTAAGTCTTGATTTCAGCCACACTGATGTTGGCTTTCACTCTCCCAAGGGGTCTTTTCTGTTTTTAAGGTTGGTTTTCTTTTGCATTTTTAGAGAAGACTGGTTTATATATTAGTCTGAGAGAAATCGTAGGCTTTGTGTTAGGCTCTTTCAGGTCAGTGTTTAGTCATCTTAATGTGTAAAAACTTGAAAGTTTAGCAAGCAGGTTGAGTTTGTTTTGAGTTATTTTATTTGTTAAATGATGAAATGTCTTGCTGGGATTTATGTTATTTCTACTTTAACTTGAATTGCTAAACCTTAAATAATTAAAACTCTATAAGGAATTTCACATAGAAAATGTTCCCTAATAAAGCCTCTTTTTAAAATCTAATTTCAAAGAATAAAATTATTCAAAGATTTTTCTGGGACGTCATCTAAAACTTAAACCATCAACTCAATTTCCTTGTTGTTGGGTTATGACCCAAAGTGCCATTGGCTTTGCTGCTCTTACTGAGGTATCTCTTGAATATTAGTATTGAGACTGAGGATATACAACAGACCCAAGATGTCACTTTATTTGGAGGCCAGATGAACAGGTGTAGAAGGAAGTGTGTTGGAGTAGCAGGAGTAGCTCATTGTTGAGGAGAGTCTCGAAAATGCAGATGTTCTTTAAGCCTGTATCTTTTACTCACTAATATACTTGTGTGTTCCTGATAATGGTTTTCTTTGAACTGTATGTTCAGGCAACTTGAATCAAATTGAAATTTAGAAAATTGGTTTGTCATGACTGTTTAGGGATCTGTTTTTTTTGTTTTGTTTTTTTTAATATATATATTTTATTGATTTTTTTTACAGAGAGGAAGGGAAAGGGATAGAAAGCTAGAAACATCGGTGAGAGAGAAACACCGATCAGCTGCCTCCTGCACACCCCCTACTGGGTGTGTGCCTGCAACCAATGTACATGCCCTTGACCGGAATCAAACCTGGGACCTTTCAGTCCACAGACCGACGCTCTACCACTGAGCCAAACCGGTTTCAGCTGGGGATCTGTTTTTAATGTCTACTAGCTGTAATGTTTTTAAAAATGCTGGGGGAGGGAGGAAGGAAAAGAAATGCTATACAAACCCATCTATATAATTAAGCATAGTAAGATATTAGGTTATATTTAATATCGAAATTTCATAAGTTCTTTAATAAAACCTTTTATTGCTGCCAAAATGTAGAAGCAGCTAGCTAGGTTAACATGCCATGGAAATATTAGTTTCCTGCTTTTATATTTTTTTAGAGTAGCATTAAATATATACCACAGTATTCTTGATAATACCTGTTTCCTTTTTTTGTCTGGTGATTGGAGAAAAGAACTGTTAGAATATTCTTATAGTGATGTTCTCTATCAAGTTCATCTGTCCATATTGCAAGTGTGGCATCTTCCTAATTTGTAATGCATTGGGTGATACACAATTGATATCTGCAGTAGGGTTTGCTCCTCTCAACTTACATGCATCCAGCACCTACCAGGGATTCAGTCCTGCACTATGGAAAATTGAAAAGTCAGGGAGGGAAAACGTGTTAACTTTCGGTCTATTTATATAGTTCACTGGAAAACCAAGTACAGGTAACTTGAGAGAGCTAATTCTTCCCTAGTCATATATTTCTTTAGAAAATCATTGATTGAAAGTCTGTTAAGTACCAAACATTTCTTATGCAATAGGGAACAAAAATATTGGAAAACAGTAGTGTTTTAAACTTATATGTTATAATGGATGTATGTATGAGTACAAAGGCATGCCTTTCTTAATTTGGCAGCAGTTTTTCAAAATTTTTTGTTAAAATTTGTTTTTCTTTCCTCCCTCCAGCTCTGCCTGCCCCTAGTTAGGCAAACTGGAAGAATTGGCCACATTTGTTCTTTCTCACCTCACATTGTGAGGCTAACTGAAGTCTGTTGTCTTCCTGCCTTTTCACTGAAACTGCCTTTCAGCACCAAGCTACCTCTGAATGCTTCATTCAGGAGTCTTTTAGGCTGTCAGAGCACTTAGCATATGGACCTTTTCTTCTTGGCACACTCTCTTCACTTCACTTGGCTCTGCTGTCTTCTGGTCTTTCTTTTCTTTCACTGACTTATCCTACTTCTGTCTCCTTACTCCTTTCTGGACTTGCCTCTGCCTAGAGATGCTATGTCTTTGTTTTCTGACTATATATCCAACTATCTTCTAGATAGCCACCTAGATGTCTCATAGGAGCATAAACATCACTGTGTCCCTGACCCCCAAGCTGCTCTGCTTCTCTGTTCTCTGGCTTAGTGAATAGAAACACTGCCCACCCAGTTGTCCAGACTACAAATGGAGGTTTTTAGTTTAGATTCCTCTCTCCATCAATTTCCATATCTAGTTAATTAACAAATTCTCTAATTCTACTGCTAAATAGCTCTTACACTTTCCTATTTTATTCCACTTCTACTGCAAGATCCTAGATCCTGCTATCATCACCCTTGCATTATTGCCAGCAGCCTCCTGATCTATTTCTTAGTCTTCAATTTCAACCCCTTCTATTTTATTGTCTCTGCTGTACCCACAGTGTTCTTTCTAACATAAAATCTGCTGTCTGATTATGTGAGCTCTTCAGTGGGTCCTCGTGGCTTATAGGATAAAGTCCTAACTCCTCTACTTGGTTAACCGGTTTAGAGTGTACTACCTTATTGGTTTTATCTCCTGCTATTTCTCCCCACTCCCTCCCACTCCCAACCAAGCTGGTTTTTTTACCATCTTTTCACTTTCCTCTGTTTGGAACCCTCTCGTGCTTTATCTCTGGACCACACTGCTCCTCCAGCAGGTGTCTCCTTTGTATTCTGAAGTCTGACATAGGTCAGTATGTACTTGCTGTCCTGGCTCAGGGTCTTTCCAAAGACACTGCCAATCACTTGTTAGCTTGCCTGTGTTCTCCATGAGGTTGAAAAAATGGGGGCAAAGGCAAAGCTTTTAGTGCCTCGCACGTAGATGCTTAGTAAATATTTGTTGAATGGACAAAGGGCCTTTTATAAGTCCATATGTAGTCATTTAATAAACTTTTCCCACATGTTCTGTTCCCTAGCTTTTTTCCTTATTTCATGATTTTGTGAGAATCTCAACTCTTTTTATTTTTTTTATTTTATTCTTTTTTTTTTTTGAAGGAATATTTAATATTAACATTGTGAGTTATTATCTTTTGCATATCAAAGTTACACATTTCAAACAAATCGTCATTTATATTTACGGTATACAAATGCAAAGCACTAATTTCCCACTAAATCATCACTTCCTTAAAATGATACATGTGATGTTATGAAATTAGCTATTAAGTATTCAAAATAGTGGAAGAGAGGTCCTTTCTTCAGTTTTTTTTTTTTTTTTTTTAATATATTTTTTTGATTTTTTTTTTTTGTCCCTCTCCCTCCCTCCCCAGAGTTTTATGTCCATTGGTTGTACTTATGTGCATGTATAAAAGTCCTTCGGTTGATCTATTATCTCCCCCAGATCTTCCTCCCCTCCCCACTGTAATTTGACAGTCTGCTTGTTGATATACTGTCTCTATATCTATCTTTTGGTTCACCAGTTTATAATGTTCGTTATTATCCACAAATGAGTGAGGTCACGTGGTATTTCTCTTTCATTGATTGGCTTATTTCACTCAGCATGATGTTCTCCAATTCCATTCAGGTTGCTGCAAATGATGAGAATTCCTTCTTTTTTATGGCAGCATAGTATTCCATTGTGTAGATGTACCACAGTTTTTGTTTTTTTGGGTTTTTTTTTTTTTTTTTTTTTTATTCAATCATCAGCTGACGGGCACCTAGGCTGTTTCCAGATTCTAGCTATTGTAGATTGTGCTGCTATGAACATAGGGGTGCATATATCCTTTCTGATCGGTGTTTCTAGTTTCTTGGGATATATTCCTAGGAGTGGGAAGAGAATCCCAACTCTTGATCTACCCTCGGTACCTGATTTAAATACCTTTTTAAAATCATAACCCAAAAAATAAAATCATAACTTGTCCATCACTCTTGAAAATGGTTCTCTGCCAACTATTGTGATATTTTCAAAGCCAGTGGTGATAGCAGTGTAGAACAAGCAGACATGTAAATATGAGTTTTTTAGTCTGTTGAGCACCAAATGTTTTTTAAACTTTTAAGTGAACAAATGTGTAGTCATACTAACTGATGGGGTGGATTTCCCTGGTGGTTTGGCGCCTCTTTGTTTTATTTTTAACGCTGGGCCAGACTTAGCAGAAAGATATATATGTAGAGCAGTGGTTCACCAGATGTCTTCAGGAGAACATGCTGAGTGGGGAATTCGTATTCAAAGGAGTGAAAAGAAAATTCTGTGAATGAGGTCTCAAAACTGTTTTCAATTTGGCTCCTAACTTGGCTAGTGCTTTTAAAAAATGTTATTAATATTGTTGATGTTATATGGCAGATAAAGGGAAATTTATTTAGAAACTGGTTATCAAAGAAGCTTAATGTTTTTTTTAGCTGTGGATTTTGATAAGTCTCTGAGGTGTTATGGCTTTTTTCATTTTCTAATAAGGATTGAAAGAGACTATAAATTAAAATCTCAGTCTTTCTCATGGGGTAGTAATGCTCTAACATTTGTTTATAACAAGTTAAAAATAACAGAAATGCTCTAAGTAAACAATTATCTGGGTATCTTATAGTGCAGAACAAGGTAGTTTTCCACTCTGCTAGTGTTGAAAACTACTACTTAGCATCTTTGGTAGGTGTTAGTACTAATGTGATTTATATGCTGCAAATTTATATGGATTACATCCCTGCTCCTTAAACTTTAAAATATTCCCAGTAGGGGGTGTGCAAGAGGCAGCTGATCGATGACTTCTCTCATCAATGTTTCTAACTCTCTCTCTCCCTTCCTCTCTGTACAAAATCAATAAAATATATTTAAAAAAAAAATAGAGTCCCTCTGGAATCCAGAGTGTAAATTGTAAGTGCTTTTTGGACTCTTACATTTTTAAATCTCTCAGAATCATTGCTTATAAACTAGTCGTGGCACCCCCTACACTATAAGTGATATAAATGTGTCTTATTTACCAAGGACTAGGATCATTTTTTTACCTATCATTCATTGAATTTATTTAAAGTATTCTTTTTTTACAATTTTTAAAAAAAAATTTCTTTGGTTAAGGTATAATATATGTGTCCTTATCCCCCATTGTCCTTCCCCCTCATGCCCTTACACCTCTGTTGTCTGTGTCCATTGGTTATGCTTATATGCATGCATACAAGTCCTTTGCTTAATCTCTCCCCCTACCTTCCCTCTGAGGTTTGATGGTATGATTGATGCTTCTCTGTTACTGGATCTGTTTTTGTTCATCACTTTATGTTGTTCATTATATTCCATAAATGAATGAGATCATGTGATATTTATTTTTCTCTGACTGGATTATTTCACTTAGCATAATTCTCTCCAGTTCCATCCATGCTGTTGCAAATGGTAAGAATTCCTTTTATACTGCAGCTTAGCATTCCATTGTGTGGATGTGCCATAGTTTTTTAATCCACTCACCTGCTGATGGGCACTTAGGTTGTTTTCAAATCTCAGCTATGGTGAATTTTGCTGCTTTGAACATAAAGGTACATATATCCCTTCTGATTGGTGTTTCTGGTTTCTTGGGATATATTCCTAGAAGTGGGTCAAATGGGAGTTCCATTTTCAGTTTTTTGAGGAAACCCCATACTGTTCTCCATAGTGGCTGCACCAGTCTGTATTCCTACCAGAAGTGCACAAGGGTTCCTTTTTCTCTGCATCCTTACCAGCACATGTCTTTTGTTGATGATAGCCATTCTGACAGGTGTGAGATGGTACTGCATCGTCATTTTGATTTGCATCTCTTGGATAATCAATGACTTTGAGCATGTTTTCATATGTCTCTTGGCTTTCCTTCTGTCTTCTTTTGACAAGTGTCTATTTAGGTTCTTTGCCCATTTTTTGATTGGGTTGTTATCTTCCTTTTTGTTAAGTTGTATGAGTTCCCTGTAAATGTTGGAGATTAAAACCTTATTGGTGATAACATTGGCAAATATGTTCTCCCATGCAGTGGGCTTTCTTGTTGTTTGTTGATGGCTTCTTTTGCTGTGGAAAACTTTTTATTTTGATTTAGTCCCATTTGTTTATTTTTTCCTTAGTTTCCATTGCTCTAGGAGCAGTATCTGTGAAGAAATTGCCTCAGCATATGTCTGAGATTTTGTTGCCTATGGATTCCTCTAATATTTTTATTGTTTCCCATCTGATGTTTAAGTCCTTCATCCATTTTGAGTTTATTTTTGTGTATGGTGTAAGTTGGTGGTATAGTTTCTTTTTTTCTTTCTTTCTTTCTTTTTTTTTTTTTTTTTTTTTTTTTTTTGCATATATCTGTCCAGTTTCCCCAACATCATTTATTGAAGAGACTGTCTTGACTCCATTTTATGTTCATGCCTCCTTTGTCAAATATTAACTGAGCATAGTGGTTTGGGTAGATTTCTGGGTTCTTTATTCCATTGATCTATCTGTCTGTTTTTGTGTCAGTACCAGGCTGTTTTGAGAACAGTAGCTTTGTAATACAGCTTGATATCTGGTATTGCGATCTCACCTACTTTGTTCTTCTTTCTCAGGATTGCTGCAACTATTCGGGGTCTTGGGGTCTTTTTTTATTTTTTTATTTTTTTTATTCCAGATGAATTTTTGGAAAGTTCGTTCTAGGTCTGTGAAATACGCCATTTTAATGGGAAGTGCATTGAATCTGTAGATTGCTTTGGGTATTATGGACATTTTAATGATGTTGATTCTACCAATCCATGAACACAGTATGTTCTTCCATCTGTTTATGTCTCCTCTATCTTTTTTTTCAGTGTCCAATAGTTTTCCACATATAGGTCATTTACCTCTATAGTTAGTTTATTCCTAGGTATCTTAATTTTTTTTGGTAAATGAGATTGCTTTCCTAGTTTCTCTTTCTGTAAGTTCACTATTAATGTATAGAAAAGCCATAGATTTCTTGGCATTAATTTTGTATCCTGCTACATTGCCGAATTCATTTATTAAGTCTAATAATTTTTTAAAATATATTTTATTGATTTTTCACAGAGAGGAAGGGAGAGAGATAGCTAAAAACATCAATGAGAGAGAGTCATCGATCAGCTGCCTCCTGCACGCCCCCTACTGGGGATGTGCCTGCAACCAATGTACATGTCCTTGACCAGAATCAAACCTGGGACCCTTCAGTCCTCAGAACAACACTCTATCCACTGAGCCAAACAGGTTTCGGAAAGTCTAATAATTTTTGATGGCATCTTTAGAGTTTTCTATGTACAGTATCATGCCATCTGCGAATAAGGACAGTTTTACTTATTTTTTGGATGCCTTTTATTTCTTCTTCTTGTCTATTCACAATGGCTAGAACTTCCAGTACTATGTTGAACAGGAGTGGTAAGAGTGGGGATCCCTGACTTGTTCCTGTTCTTAGAGGAAATGGTTTTAGTTTTTGCCCATTGAGTATGATGTTTTCTGTGGGTTTATCATATATAGCTTTTATTATGTTGAGGTATGATCCTTCTGTTCCCACCTTGCTGAGAGTTTTTATCAAGAAAGGGTGTTGGATTTTGTCGAATGCTTTTTCTGCATCAATTGATATGACTGTGTGATTTTTATCTCTCAATTTGTATGTGATGCATCACATTTATTGATCTGTGGGTATAGTACTATCCTTGCATCCCCAGGATAAATCCTACCCTGATTGGTCATGGTGTATGATCATTGGTCATGGTGTATGATCTTTCTTATGTGCTGCTTGGATCCAATTTGCTAGAATTTTGTTGAGGATTTTGGCATTCATGTTCATGAAGGATATTGGCTTGTCATTCTCCTTTATTGAGTTGTCTTTATCTGGTTTTGGTATTAGGGTGATGCTGGCTTAATAGAAGGAGCTTGGAAATGTTCCTTCCTCTTAAATTTTTTGGAATATTTGAGGAGGATAGGTTTTAGTTCTTAGTTCTTCTTTGAATGTTTGGTAAAACTTCCCTGTGAAGTCGTCTGGCCCCGGGCTTTTGTTTACTGGAAGCTTTTTGATGACTGCTTCAGTTTTTTCCATAGTTATCAGTCTATTGAAATTTTTAGATTCTTCTTGATTGAATTTTGGAAGGTTGTATTTTTCTAAGAATATGTCCATTTCCTCCATGTTGTCTAGTTTGTTGGAATGGAATTATTCATAGTATTTTTTTTTTTTAACAATTCTTTGTATTTCTGTGGGGTCTGTTGTTATTTCACCTCTTTCATTTCTGATTTTATTTGGGTCCTCTCTCTCCGCTTCTTGGTGAGCCTGGCTAGAGGTCCATCAATCTTGTTATCCTTTCATAGAATCAGCTCTTGGTTTCATTGATCTTTTGTATTGTTGTTGTTGTTTTTGTGTCTCTATGTCATTTATTTCTGCTCTGTTCTTTATTATCTCCTTCCTGTGTTCACTTTGGTCTTTTCTTGTTCTTTTTAATTCTTTAAATTATATAGTTAGATGACTTACTACCATTTTTTTCTTGTTTTTTGAAGTAGGCCTGTAGAGTAATAAACTTCCCTTTCAGGACTGCTTTCATTGTGTCCTATAGATTTTGGATTGTTGTATTTTTAATGTCATTGGTTTCTAGGGTATTTTTAATTTCTTCTTTGATCTCTTTGGTAACCCAATCATTATTTAACAGCATGCTGTTCAGCATGTGGCATTCTGCTTGTGTGTGTGCAAAATCCCCTTGTACTAAGGACATGGTTATACTGGATTAGGGGCCCATCCTCCTCTGATGTGGCTTCTTCTTTTTTTTTTAAATTAATATATTTTTTATTGATTTTTTTTTTTTTTTTTTTTTTTTTTTACAGAGAGAAAGAGAGAGGGATAGAGAGTTAAAAACATCGATGAGAGAGAATCATCACTCAGCTGCCTCTTGCACACCCCCTACTGGGGATGTGCCTGCAACCAAGGTACATGCCCATGACCGGAATCTAACCTGGGACCTTTCAGTCCGCAGGCGATGCTCTATCAACTGAGCCAAACCGGTTTTGGCTGATGTGGCCTCTTCTTAACTGATTACATCTGTAATGACCCTATTTCAAAAGAAGGTCACATCCTGAGGTGCCAAGAATTTAGAACTCAACATGACTTGGGAGTACACAATTCAACCATAACAAAATCACGAATTCTCAGCATCTTAGAAAGTAGTTGTAGAAAAGATAACTGGATCACTGTCAGAATTACTTTTTTTAGAGCCCTTTTCAGGCTTCTATTGTTTTAATCCAATAGGAGTTTGTGTGCTCCTTAAAAAGCATTGATTAATTTACAGTAAACAGTGACTGGTGGAATTCAGGGGTTCTTTTCTTAGCAGGGGTTTGTCCTCGGTACTAGTTCTTTAACCTTGCCCTGTTTGTGCTTCTAGGAGACGTTGATCCAGCAGCACGTGTCATTTCATTAGGTCCTGTATCTGATGTTGTGGATAGTGGAGTCCTCCAGCAATTGAATGAGAGCAGTGGACACATCTCAGCATGTCGGTCTAGAGAGTTGCGAATCTGAACAACCTGGGACAGGCTGGGGCCATGAGGCAGAAACAGCAGCCTCTGCCAACACCGGAACAAGCCGCTTCCAGATAAGGCATAAACGGCCTTTTGTAATGGAAATCACGTGAGGGTTAATCTTCTCTGAGAATGGCAGTCAAGAAATGAGATGGTTAACTTGACTACTGAGCAGTTACACCCAGACAGAAGAGCGTCAGTAAGATGACTGAGCCTGAGAAGAAGTGATTGTAATGGTAATGGTAAGGGGGAAATGAACTTGAGTTTTAAACTTGATTTGAGTTACAGTGTCTCTGAATTGAACATCCCATGTTGGAAGAAGATACATTTGGGGGCTCCAGAACTACAGTAGGAAAGTATAGCGCAAGCAGTAAAATCTTCTAGTAAAAACTTACATGCAGGACAACAAAATGATGAAAAATATCAAAGAACCAGATAATCCACCAGGAAGGCTTTTGTTTAGGAATTTGTTTCAAGAGGAACAAGGGATGAGGGACAAAAATCATTTTTATCCATCAAGAGTCAGTGATATAAAATTGCCTATTTGGGTAAAAGAAAAATGTGAAAGACTGTTAGTATTACAAAGAGCATGGATTCAGATGACTTAGGGAAGTCACACCAGCCTGAGAAAAGGGATTCTGAGCCCATTGTAAGTATCATTGAAAACAAATGTGCCAGTCAGCATGTCACAGAAAATGGACGAAGGACAGCAAGAAGTGGATCAGAAGATTTTGTTGACCTTCATGGGTTTACAGCCTTTGTCTCTAAACAAAGTATGGAAACAGTAGAGCTTTTATTTTGCTTTTTGTTTTTGTTTTGTTTTGTTCCTTCTTCCTCCCCCCAAATAGAAATGAGGGTTCTTACTCTGTTTCTGGCAATCTGTTAATTTATTAGGATAGTTGTCTTTCGTTTGCTTTTCAATAGGCATAGTAAATTTAGTTAAAGAGCACATCTGTATGCTACAACTTGATTACATCTTTTTTCTAGCTATTTTGCATTTTTTCTTTTACCATGTTTCAGTTTCTGCATGTAGAATTAAATAAGAAACAAAACTTGTAAAGTTGTAACATTTCACATGGAAATGCTGCCCAATCTTCACCAGCTTCAGAAATCTGACCTTTGCCGATGCTGCAATAAAGTGTTGTAATTTAGATATGTGTGGTTGAGTTTTATTTGGTTTTGGTTTTGGAAACCTACTAAATGGATAAATCAGTATCTTTCAAGGTCATCTTCATCCTTTCTAAAATTGTCTCAGATTTCTTCAGCATCTCACTTGTATTGTTGCTCTCACTTTAGCATTCTGTATTTGCATTGTTTTCCTAGGTGCCTGAGTTATTAACTTACCTTTGGGTCAGTACAAAAAGTAGCCTGTGGAGTCCAGTGGAACAAACAGGCTTAAAGCTAATTAGGAAACGTTGGCACAGTACGTCTAACATGAGGAGTGTTTATGTTTTTACCAGAATGTGTGCAAACCTGGGTGATAAAAGCCTTTGAAAGGCAGGCAACTCAGAAAGGAATCACAAGAACCATTGTTTTCCATTTCTTTCTAGGTGTTCATTCCAGGGCTTGCTTACATGTATACCAAAGGAGTGTCTGCAATCACTATTGCTAAAATTTTTTAAATTCAGCTGAGAGTCATTAGAGTTCGAAAAGTTTTGTCATTTCTGTTTTAAATTGTTTGGGGGAGCCAGAGATAATTATACTGTATATTATGCTCAACTCAGAGGATATCTGAAAGTCAGCTGTAATTCACCTTCATTTGCCTTTCATATGTCATCTAGAAAGGACAAGTGTGGTGTTTTTGGGAACCATAAAGAAAGATCAAATAAGATGGTACATTATTCAGTTAGATTACTATAACAAAAATAGCTTACATAGTGATATGTAAGGTAGATTCTGTGTTAACCACCAAGAAGCTTGCCATATATATATATATCTCCATCCTATGTAATAATATGCAGATTGACCATCACTCCAACACACAAGATTGCTGCCCCCATGTGGTCAAAGATCCTGCCCCCTTTTGGACACAAGGTGGCCAACAGGGTAGGGCAATTGGGGGTGATCAATCCTGCAGGGGACGGCAGTTAGGGGGGACCAGGCCAGCAGAGGAGGGAAGTTGGGGGCAAACAGGCTGGCAGGGGAGCAGTTAGACATCAATCAGGCTGGCAGCAGATTGGTTAGGGGGTGATCAGACTGGCAGGCAGAAGTGATTAGAGGCAATCAGGGAGGTGGGCAGGCGAGCAGTTGGGAGCCAGGAGTCCTGGATTGTGAGGGATGTCCGGCTGCCCGTTTAGGCCTGATCCCTGTGGATTGGGTCTAAACAGGCAGTCAGATATTCCCTGAGGGGTTCCAGATTAGAGAGGGTGCAGGCTGGGCTGAGGGATCCCACCATTCACCCCACACTCCCACCATGCACGAATTTTGTACACCGGGCCTCTAGTGTGTGTATAATTACACACACACACACACACACATACACACAAGAGACCTGGTGCAAAAATTATGAGAATAATATTTTCTAAAAATCAGGTGGCTTTCCCCTCTTTTATATAGAATCAGGTGGCTTTCCAAGAGGGGAAAAGTCTGATTTTTAGAAAATACTGTTTTGCCAGTCTTTTGGACCGCTCTTTAATTCTTTGATTCCAAAAGGATTAAAGGGCAAAGCTAAAAAGACCCCTGGGAACCTAAAAGTCTGTCTGGTGAAAGCTGCCCAGGCCTTGCATATTCTTAGTCTCTATACTTGACCCATGGAAAAAACCTGGTGGCTAGACAGAAGAATGGATACACGTAGCACACAGTACCTAGAAGAGCCAAACAAGTAGCAAGACTAGAAAACTGAACACATAAGCAAAGCACAGAAATATAAAGAGGAGAGATCCTGGCCCAGACCCTGCCAGGCCCTGGGGTGGTGGTCCTGGAACGGGTGGAATGTTAACTTTAGAAGAAACCCCCAATTTGCAGAGGTGTGAGGGCTTAACTCTTTTCAGTGCTGTGAGATCAGTCATCAGTGATGTAGTGTTTTGTAATTAATAGAAATAACTTCATTAAAAGAAGGAAATAGGCTTAGAGTGGTGAGGCCACCAGCAAAGAAAAGCAGACCTCACATTTCTTAATAACTACAGCCATGTCATAAAATACCTTTATAATACTCGTACTGGAAAACCTGAGGTAATGGTGGTGGTTGTTTTTTGTTTGTTTGTTTTTGTATTTATTGATTTCAGAGAGGAAAGGAGAGGGGGAGTGGAGAGAGAAACATCAATGATGAGAGAGAATCATTGATAAGCTTCCTTCTGCACGCCCCTTACTGGGGATTGAGCCCGCAACCCGGGCATGTGCCCTTGACCCAATCGAACCCAATACCATTCAGTCTGTAGGCTGATGATCTATCCACTGAGCCAAACAGGCTAGGGCTGTTTTTTTCTATTTTTAAAAATAATGTTTTTAAATAAAAGGCAGAGATGAAATATATCTCAGGTTCCCATCCAAAGTGGCTTTAAAGTTTTTTACATTCAGTTTTTTACTGCCAACTGTCCAGAATCCAGCTAGGATGTTATTTAGTTGCAAATGAAAGATGCCCAATTTAAATTCTGTTAAACTCATGGGAGTTTATTGTAAGGATCCTAAAGTTTGAAACCAAGACAAGAGTATTGTTGGGCTTTAGAAATGACTAAATGCAGTCTGAACTCTCATGTGTGCTTTCTGTTTCTCAGCTTTATTCTTCCTCTGCCTTAGTCCATTCTGGCTGCCATAACAATACCACAGACTGGGCAGCTTAAACAGCAGGCATCTATTTCTCAGTTTTGGAGGCTAGAAGCTCGAGATCAAGGTGCCAGCATTATCAGTTTCTGGTGAAGCCTTGGCCTGCAATTGTCTGTTTTTTCAACTGTGTCCTCATATGGCCTTTCCTCTCTGCAAAGGACACCAGTTCCATTGGGTGAGGGACTCACCCTCATGACTTCATTTAACCTTGGTTACTTCCTCAAAGGCCCAATCTCCAAATATAGCCACACTGGGGGGGTGGAGCTTCAACCAATGAATTAAAAGGTGTGTGTGGGAGGGGGGGCGGACACAATTCAGTTCATAACACTAACTGTAAATTTGGCTGCCAAATGTCCCTGACTTACGTCTTGCAGGTACAGAAGTGACAGGTGCTCGCAGCAAAATCTGCATAACCACAGAACTGCTGGTCCCACTGGCATAGGTGTCTGTCCTTGGACCAGTGATCTGTAGTCAAGGGGGTGGTATGGCTACTCTCCAGGATCCTTCATAATTACCTGGGGAGGACCATTTCCTACACCCACTATGCAAAATTTGAGCTCTCTCAGGTTTTAAATGTGGATTTTCCACATAGCTATAAGCTTTCTAAAGCTTCATTTTTAAAGAATTCTGAATTTTTTATCAGTTCAAGCTCTCATTAAAACATCCCTTTTACTCTATGGCTGGCCCCTGGGTTATGGCTGGCCCTGGATATAGTTGTCCCAGCTTTCAATCTGGTGTTCTTCCCTAGGCATTAAAACAAAATGGAGGTGGAGTCCATTTAAATTTAGAAATTCTTAGCATGTTACAAGTAAAAAAATATTTTTGGCATTCTTATTTAAGTGTGTGTGTGTGTGTGTGTGCGCGCGCACATGCATGTGTGTGTGTGTGTGTGTGTGTGTGTGTGTGTGTGTGTTTTACTTTGAAAGTCCAAAGGAAACTTGACCATCTTCTGTTATTTTTAAATATGCTTCTTTCTGGAGGAGTAACTGAAGATGGTTGGGTTACTTTTCAAATGTTTGTTTCCTTGGAGGTGGTTCTACTTTTTAGTTATTGGAAAATCATTTCAAATTCTGTTGAGTGTGTGCATGTATGTATATAAAGATTCATGGTTTTAC